GACCAGAGAACAAACCCGGGCAAAAAACCTGTATGACCACGCCTTGTGAGAGCTTCCCTATATTCAAGTTCGCAGAGCCGTGGAATGTTTCCTTCCGTGTCACAACGATGCCGTGGTGGTCGGCCAGCGCCACGTGACCAGGGCGGCGCGCGCTCGTTGGTTGCCGCGCTGGAGTATGAGGCTGCGAAGAAGGGGCGCTCGTTGTTGGTGCGTTTTTTTTCTTTTCTTTAATGAAGGGGGATGGGGGTTGATGGTGGGCTGTGGTTGTTGTTGTTTTGTTTGTTCTCTGAGTGCTAACTACTACGTAGCTCGTCGACACCGAGACGGACAGCGTGGCCGAGATGGCCTTCAAGAAGCTGGACTACACCGAGATCGGCAAGGTGCCGCACTTCAGTCGGGCCCTACCGAACGGGAAGAAGGGCGAGACCTTCTTTTACAAGGAGTTTCTGCCGTCCTCATCATAGTTGGGCTGTGTGTTGCGGGTGCTTCCCGGTGTTGTGTGTCCCTTCCGCTTGCTGGGCGTTGGTGGTGATGGGGGTTCTAGATGGACGAGGCCCACGCTTCTGCAGGATTTCTTACTCTTTTATAATATTCTTTTTCTTGGCTACAGAGCTTTGTGTTTGAGGTTTGCTAAAAGAAAAGCTTGCATCCTATTTCTCTCTCTCCGAGCATCCGTTTCCTACGCCAGACACACAAGTCCATATTTCTGTACATACAACCATTGAAGACACGCCCATGAGCCGACTACTTGGGCATCTCTTTGAGAGCATGCTTTACTTCTATTTATCAACATTCCCCACGATGTCGAATGCCGGGCCCGCTGGACCTCGCCATAGGGCAGCTTCTCCTGCGGCCCGTTTCGCGGCCTGCCCGGCCCAGCATATCACTCGTCCACCAAACACCACCCTCTGACGTTAGTGGCATTTCTGTAATATGCAGGCAGGCTATGGAGATACAATTGACGAATTAGACGCTGCACGTCGAGATAACTGAGCGGCTCGCCTCTGCAGCTACCCGTTGGCATTGTTGCCCCTGGCCACTCACTCACTGGCTGTTCATTGGAATTTACCTGTGATGCATTTTACTCTCAACTTTCGATACAACTATTCACTGTCAGTCTTGCAAAGTTGGCTGTTTCGTTTCCGACGGTCTGGTAGTCCGTGGGCACAAACAACCTTGGCTGATTCTGACACATCAGGATCATGTCTCATCCTGGCCCCGAAAGAGGCCGAGAGAATGTGCGGTGCCAGACACAGCCAACGCCTAAGAAGCCCCAAGATATCTACCCCAGAACTGATCAGCAAATGCAGCAAAGCTTAGAGCTTAAGAAGATATAATCCAGAAGAGCCACCACGGTCCATCAAACCCTCTGTTAAACATTCCCACGCCGCCTTGCAAACCCAACCCAACTAACTACGAAGTATCCTGACCAACCCAACCCCGATCTCGGCGGCCCTGGAATGTAGCAATGTAGCACCCGATATCCGCCGTGCATCCAAGCATCTGACACGAGGTCTCACAACCTAACGCCAATCAATGCAAAAACATCCCGACCAGCTAGCCAAATGCAGCCCAACCTGACAGGGCCGGCCAGTGTGAAAACCTTGCTCGGCCGCTGTGCTGGACGGCACTGGGAAACAATCTAACCGAGAAATGCGAATCGATTTTTGGTACTGAGGTAACGTATATCCGACACATTACCAACAGCTACGATGATGACAATGTACTGCCACGGCCACAGCCAAACCCGTAAACCAAAAACTCCATGTCTACCTACATACAACACACCGGCCAGAGTAAGCACAAACAGAAAAAGAAAAAAAAAAAAAAACAGTTCAACAGAGGAGCGCCTCTAAGCCAGGAATAAGATATTAGTATGCAACACCAGCGGCCTGACCCTCCCCACCCCTCCCCACCAACCAACCAACATTCACTTGTCCAGACACCCAAGAAAAGCCGCCGCCGCCATCAAGCCAGGTGCTATACACACACCATGTATACGGAGAAAAAAAGACCAAGTTATTCGTCCGAAGCCCAGCCCCGACCCATGCCACCGCACCGCGTCCGTCCCATCATCCCATCATCCAAGCTCTTCGTCTAGTCCACCTTGTTGCCGTTAGCCGACACCCCCAAGAGCGGCGCCCTGTTAGCGGGCTCGTCGAGGCGGAAGTGGCCGCCCCTCGTCTTCCTTATCCTACCGCGGAAGAGGGAGAGGCAGCCGAAGGCGATGCCCAGGACGCAGCCCGAGCTGAGATAGGGGTGCTCCTTGAAGGTGGTCTTGACGTCGAAGACGATCTTCTCGAAGAAGCCGATGGTGAGCTTGGGCTTGAGCTTGGGCGGGTTGGCCGTGACCTTGTTGATGGTCTCGAGGATCGAGGTGCGCGACGGCACGATCGGGTTGCCCGTGCTGGTCTGGTCCCAGTAGCGCCGGTTCTGGAAGGGGGGTTAGTTAGTATCTTACTGGTTCTACGCGGTGCAGGGGTGGACCAGGCAGACTTACATCCTCGTCGTTAATGATCACCCTGTCGCCGTCCTTGATGTCAATGCCGTATGTGGTGCGGATCCACTTCCGCCAAAAGGCACCATCGACCCACGCAAACGTCACCTCCTTGCGATCCGACCGATCCATGTTGATTCTAATGTTCTTTGCATTACGAGCCGCCCGGTGGTCATCGCGGTCCTCGGCCTCCTCGATGCGCAGCTGCTTGGCGTCACGCAACTCTTGGCGCTCGAGTTGGAACAGCTGGATCTGCTTGTCCATCCACTCGTTGGCCGCGCTCTTCATCTCCCGGATAGCACCCTGGAACGAGTCTTGGTTCTCTCTGTTCAAAATTCCAAGGACAACGATCCTGCCATCCATGACCTCGCGCGCGTTGGAGGCAGTGAGCTCCGGCACCAGAGGCAGCCAGACAGATTTGACCCAGTTCATCAACAGATGGGTCTCACGCATCTCCCTCGGGCTGAGGGGGGGGTAGTAGGTAGCCCGCCCTTCGCGCGCCACAAGCAACCGCGGCCACGTGGTGATCTTGAACCGGTCGTACAGCTTAGGTACCCGTGTCCTGACCAGCTTTCCGCGACCGATCAGGCTCAGGGGCAAACGCTCGAGGGCATTGAAATCCTCGGTCGTGGTGGCGTGGTCGTAAAAGTACAGGAAGATGACCTCCTCTTTCTCTTCGAGAGCCTTGAACGACTCAGCATCGACGTCTTGAATGCCGCTCGCCAGATCGATGGCCTTTTCGGCATACTGGATAAAGTCACCCAGGCCACGGAGGCCCTGGTATTCGACGCGCTCGCCACCCCGGAAGAAAAGGAAGGTGGGATAGCCCTTGACACCGACGTTCTTGCAAAGCTGGGGGTCGGCATCGCAGTTGACTTCACCGATATTGAGCCGGCCCTTGACCTCCTTGGCTAGCTGCTCCCAGTTCGGCTTGATACTAAGGCAGTGGTGGCACCACGGCGCATAGAACTTAACAAACCAGGGTTCGTGCGTCTTAGTCACCAAACTCTTGAAAGTATCGGCCGTCAGGGCCACCGATATGCCATTAGGATTCGGTGTCATCTTCGGCGTCAAGATCTTCTGCTGGGGTGGGTTGTATGTAACCGTGGCGTACTTCGGGCTCGTTGTCTCTTCGGGCTGGGCTGGCGCCTGGGGCATCGGTGGAGCAGGGGCTACTTTGCGCTTCTCCTCGGCCCCCCCATCCGTCGTGCTCTTCGCGTCTGGTTCGCCCTTGTCGGCCGGTCTGCTGTTTATGGGGCCGGTCGATTCGGCGCCCGGTTCCGGCAACTCAAGCGTAGCCGGGCGTGTCCCCGGCTTGGCCTTCTCCAGGGCATCCTCCACGGCGCCGCTCAAGACGCTCATGCTCTTGACACCCTTGAAAGTGACAATTGGCTCGCCATCCTCGTAAAGAATGGTGCTTGGCCATGACGAGACTTTATGCTTTCCGCACAGGTCGTTGTATGCGACGCAGTTGATATCGGCGAATCGGAAGCTGTAAAAATCGGTAAAGTCGGCGTCCTTGGGCGCGCTCCCGGCGGGCGACGAGGTGTAGTAGAATTCGTACAACGTCTGGAATGTCGGAGCATAATCGATACAATGCGGGCAGTACGGGCTGGGGACATCAGCACGCGTGACATGTAGCGTGGGACAAACTAGTTACCTGTAATGCTTGACCAGCAAGTACTTGGACGCCTTATGCTCTTTCTCCCAGTTGTCGGGGGTCAACTCGAGCATCGGCGGGACCTTTTTCCCATTGAATTGCGTGGCTTCCCGGGGCGGTTCTTCCTCGTCGTCGTCCAGGTCTGGCGATTGCCCAACGACCAGCGCAGCCGCTCCAAACAGCAATGTTAAGTTGAAGAGCCGCATCTTGTCGCCCCTCTTTTTTATAGCGTGGTGAAGCCAGAAATAATGGCCCTACACCGGCACGGATTGCAGGCGGGCCACGGTGTTAGTTCGCAACCAGGATCGAAATTGGTTGTCGGCGAAAGCTTATCGAGGCCGAGGCCTAGCCTGGCATCGGGAACACTGTGGGAACCGACAGCTCGGGCGCTGGGACAAGACAGTTCCGGTTCGAGTGATACGGATACCAGATGGTGAATACGGCAGATGTTGCTCTCTCTAAAATCTCGGGCCGGCCTTGTCTCGTTTTAGGGGGTCATAACTCGTGGGCGGTGCCAATGCAGCAAATGAGGATGCGTTCAGGGGACGATTCGTTCCCACGAGTCAAGATTTCCGACACGTTTGTTACTGCAGTCTGGCCAGGCCGACAGCATTCCGCCTCAATTTCCAGGCATTTGCCCAGCCACTAGCGTCGCGCCAGAAGGATTTCCCACGACCAAGAAAACGCAAACAATCCATCTTCCCTGTCCTGCAACGGCTCCAGATGCCAGCCAGCTGGCAGCTAATGCCTGCTTGACTCCACTCCATCACTCTATCATCACAACGCTCCATCATCGCATCAACCTCAAACCTCATCGAAAATCTTTAACCAAATCACTTCCAAAACAACTTGTTTTCTGTTTGCCATTCACTCTTCCAAGAAACATGGATCGACCAAGAAAAACGCCGGCGCCTCTCGACGACTATGACGAAACGATAGGGGAGATGCCAGCGTCTCTCACCTGCCCCATTAGCCCACCGCTGAAAAAGCGTCGAATTGGGGCATCGCCGCAGCGAAATAAACATGTTGGGTCGCCATCAGTGCCAAATCGCATGTTTAAATCCCCGTTCCAACTTACCAAGATTCAAAACCTGCCTCCAGAGATGAACAAGGATACAGTCACTCTCCAGGACATACTGGGAGATCCACTAATTGCAGAGTGCTGGGAGTTTAACTATCTCCATGACATAGACTTTCTCATGTCCGCCTTTGACGAAGATGTTCGTCATCTCGTCAAGGTTCATGTGGTTCATGGGTTTTGGAAGAGAGAAAACCCAAACCGGCTAAAGCTCCAGGTAGGCAAGCCTTGCATTCTTCTACAGCAGGTTCAAGTGAATAGAACTGCCTTCTCCTTTACCTTGCCCATCTCTTTTTTCCTTGAGTCCTAACATCCCACAGGGAGCGGCATCCCGCTTCCCAAATGTCACCCTTCACACTGCCTTTCTCCCCGAGATGTTTGGTACGCATCATTCGAAGATGATGATTCTCATCCGGCACGATGAGACGGTACAGATCATCATCCACACAGCAAACTTGATCGTCCGTGACTGGACCAACATGAGCCAAGCTGTCTGGCTCTCTCCGAGGCTTCCCCGCATGAAGCCTTTACAACAAGATGCTAGCCCGGAGGAAGCCAAGATCGGTAGCGGAGCCAAGTTTAAGATCGACTTCCTCAACTACCTCCGAGCCTACGACACCCGTAAGACCACCTGCAAGCCAGTAATTCAGCAATTATCCCTGTATGACTTTTCAGAAATCCGAGGCTCGCTCATTGCCAGCGTACCGGGTCGACACGTATTCGAGGAAGAAGATTCAATCACTTGGTGGGGCTCGGCAGCAATGAGCCGAGCCCTCGAAGCGGTCCCTATTTCCTCAAAAAAACCCGAGATTGCCATTCAGACCTCATCCATCGCGACATTGGGCGGATCGGATACCTGGCTCAAGAACATTTTATTCCGCTCCCTTAGAGGTGGCCGAAGCACCACCCCTCTCGCGCAACGACCGTCCTTCAAAGTGGTCTTCCCAACCCCGGACGAAATCCGCAAATCCCTCGACGGGTACCACTCCGGCAGCTCCATCCACACCAAGACCCAGTCGCCACAACAGGCCAGCCAGCTTACATACCTCCGACCCATGTTCCACCACTGGGCCAACGACTCGGACAGGGGCGCGCCACTCTCCTACGGCGACATCCCCAAGGAAGCCGGCAGGAAACGGGCCGCGCCACACATCAAAACCTACATCCGCTACAGCGGTTACGGCCCGGAGCCGCCGACCGTCGACTGGGCACTGCTCACGTCGGCGAACCTATCCAAGCAGGCGTGGGGCGATGCGCCCAATACTCGGAACGAGGTACGCGTCGCGTCGTACGAGATCGGCGTGCTGGTCTGGCCGGAGCTGTACGGCGAGGGAGCGACCATGGTGCCGACGTTCATGACGGATTCGCTGGCGGAGGGGGAGGTGCCAGAGGGGACGGCCACTGCGGTGGCGTTGCGCATGCCGTATAACTTGCCTTTGCAGGCGTATGGGGAGGGGGAGGTGCCGTGGGTGGCGACGGAGAAGCATTTGGAGCCGGACTGGATGGGGCGAGCTTGGGAGCCGGGTTAGATGGAAATCACATGCTTGGATACCTAGGGAGGTGGTTGCGTGGCCGGGGTCACTTCGCGAGGGGAAGAGGTGGGAAAGGGAAAAGGCTAAGAAAAGGGAGAAAGGTGGGAAAGAGGAAAAAGGTGGGAAAGGGTGGTGTTTTCACAGAGGAACACAGTACTCGCTTGCTACGGGCGCCGAAAGCTCAATGCCAATGTCTGGCTGCCAAGATTGTCACAAAATGATGTCTATTCATGTGCGCAGTTCCCCCCAGCCCAGTGTCGCATCTATTCTTGGCCGACGGCCTCGGGCTGCTTGTTCGCGTCGAATCCGTACGTGGTCTTCATCTCCTCGACCTTGGCGACATATTTCTCCTGGGCCTGCTCCACCGTGATGCCGTCGTCAACAGCCTTTTGCCACGCCTTCAACTTGGCCTTGCCCTGTGGTGTGTGTTAGTTTCGGGTGTGTTTTCCGGATACGGAAAGGGGGCGGGTGATGGCTTGCCTTGAGGTCGAACACGCCCGGCGCGGGAGCCTTCTCGACGTCCTCGCCCGTCCCGATCTTGTAGAGGGCTACCGTGGCATGTTAGCGAGTGTCGGTGCAAAACGATATGACTGTCTGGACGCACCGTAAATCTCGAGGAGGTCCTCGTTGCTCGGCTTCGACGTCAACTGCTTGCTCTCCTCGGCAGCCTTCTTGAACGCTTCGCTCTGGGTAACCATCTTGATTGGATTCTGTATTCTGCTTGGTCGCTCTTTTGCTCGGGATCTTGGTGGAAACAAGTCTTGTTTGCAATGGTTGATGTTGTTGAGGAGACCACAAGGGTTTGTTGGGGGTTGGCGGGGTCAGGGGGGCTAAGCGCGGGGTTCTGAGCTGGCAAGGGAGGGGCAGCTTGTGACCGAGTTTGGAGCGTGGTTGCTCCACTGCCAAGGCCGGTGTGATGTGCTGCTGGCTGCATGATTGCTCATCCAAGATGGGAGGTCGTCACCCTGTGGTTGACAGCAGGGACGAAACAAGAATTCGACATGGTTCGGTTGTTTTTCCCTCGGCATCTTGTCCTTGCCTTTCTGCTCGATTTCTTGTCCTCCGCTGTATGCTCGATTGCTTTTACTGGATTTGTCGTCCCGATTTATCAATATAGTTTTCCCCTACTTCGTTCAAGTCTTTGCTTGCCGGCCACTTAACTCCCTGGGTGGCTTTTGGCATGCACCCTTGTCGCGGCCAGATTGTTTATAATTAAGGTAGTTAGATAGATATAGAAAGACTTCGGCAACGGGCGCCCGAGGTCTTGAGGCATCTTCACGCTGTGGCCTCTTTCGTATTAATGCCATGTCACCCTGACTGCCATCCAAAACATACAAACCATAGATTATCAGGCAACTATTCGTAAACCCTTGTCATTATCACCAACTCCCCTTGTCAACAGCACACTCGTCGGTCCCGAACATCGGCTGCTTGTTCTCGGGGTTATCAGCTAGTCCGGATTGAGTTAGCATCTCTTGCGCGGGAGCCATCCGCCCTGGGTATGCTTGGAGCCGCAACTCGACTTCTGTTTGGTCTCGGCGTGATTCAACAGCCGGCATTGCGGTCAGGCTTTCTCGACATCATGGGCCACGCAAACCCCAAGGATCCCTATTCCTCTCTGCAAATGCGGATGTAGTATAACACGAACCTAACCGTCAACCGTATCTCCAAGCAAGCCTAGGAATCCAAGGCACTCATTCCACTCATTCCTTGGTCCCATATTCCGAGCATGTTGGGGAAGGCCGACGACAGGGGAGGCTTGATCAACCGCAGGGGTGCTTTGTGTTGCAGCAGCGCCGTCTCACGACGGCTTGGCGGTTGATGTCAAACGCACGCTGGCATCTCGTTATTACAAATGTACATGCGTGTAGCACCAGGATATTGTGTCAGCTGGGCTCTGGTCCGAAAAAGAAAATATGGTACCTAAGTCGGGGGGTTTAGATTGGTGTTCGGAATCCTCCCGGCACCACTCCGCTTCTTCCTCTTTTTCCTTCGTTGGTTGTGCTCGAATTGGGAAGCGCAACACTCAAGTCGTACCCAGCTACAAGAAGGCGCGCCTCGAAAAAACAAACACATGTTGAACTTCCAGCTTTGGATTTTCGTCCCCTAACTACCCGCACAACTCTACTACCGCATCTCCAGAGCAGTCTGCAATCTTTTCTAGCCCGCCACCATCAAAACATAGCAAAATGTCGAAAACCGTCGTGATCCTCGGAGGGTCTATCGGCGGCCTCCACGTTGCCCACGCGCTTCTCAAGAAGAACATTAAGGATACCAAGGTCATCCTCGTCTCCAAGGTACGCAGTGCTGCCGCCAACGATGGGCTGGAGGGCTTTCCAAGCAATCACGTGATACCCATGGCGGTGACCACGGCTAACCGCCACAGAACTCGCACTTCTACTGGAACCTGGCCTCCGTCCGCGCCATCATCCCGGGCCAGATCAAGGACGAGCAGCTTTTCCAGCCACTCCAAGCCGCACTGTCTCGGTACCCCACCGAGTCCTGGGAACTCGTGATCGGCAGCGCATCCGCGGCGGACTTCGATGCGAAGACAGTCGAGATCACACTCCCCGACGGCACAACCCGCACTCTGCCCTACCACCAGCTTGTGCTCGCCACCGGCGCGCGGTCCCCCTCGCCCGACACGCCCTGGAAAGCCCCAGGCACCTACGAGCAGACCCTCGCCAGCCTGCACGACACGGCCGCGCGGGTGGCCAGCGCCCAGCACATCATCGTGGGCGGCGCCGGCAGCACGGGCATCGAAGTGGCGGGCGAGCTGGGCTACGAGTACGGCAAGACCAAGGAGATCGTCCTGCTCTGCTCGGGCGACAAGGTCGCGGGCGGGAGCGCCCTCGCTGACGCGGCCGCCAACGAGCTGAAGAAGCTCAACGTCACCATCAAGTACGGCGCACACGTGGCGGAGGCACGTCCGGCGGCGGCGGCGGGTGAGGGCCAGGCTAGCAAGACCGAGGTGGTCCTGGCCAGCGGCGAGACGCTGACCACGGACCTGTACCTGCCCACGACGGGCCTGATCCCCAACACCGAATACATCCCCGCACAGTACCTCGTCGACGGCGCGGTCGTCCGCCCCGTGCAGGTCGACGAGTACCTGCGGGTCCCGGGGACGCAGGAGGTGTGGGCGTGCGGCGACATCGTGAGCAAGCCGCGCGCGGGCTTCTTCTACACCCAGAAGCAGGCCGTCAGCGTGGCCAAGAATGTGGAGGCCGCGCTGGCCGGGCTGAAGCCCGCGGTCGCGAAGGGTCCCCCCGTCGATGTCTTTGCCTGCGCGGTCGGCCGCGACAGGGGCGTCGGCCGGATCAATAACTCAATCAAGATGCCGAGCTTCGCGGTCTGGGCGGCCAAGGGGCGCACGCTGGCGCTGCCGATGGTCAAGACCTATATTGATGGGAGTGTTGCTTAAGCAAGTCGTGGAGGGATTAGATACCCGAGTTTTCATGCCGGAGTTTTGCGGGGTGCTAGACAGAACAGTTTATGGGCGGCATAAACGCCCCTTAATTTAGTGTGTTAGTTTAGTATTTGTGTGTGTGTTTGTGTGTGAGGTTTCTATCAGCCAAACGTCGTGTCATGGATTGTGTCCGATCCTACCCACCCAGTCATTACCTCCCTGCCCTCTCATCCTCAATCTCCCTCCTCAACTGCTCCAGCACCTCCTGCCGTGACCGCAGATGCCCCTCCAGCCCCTCCACCTGCTCCCTCACCGTCTGCAGATCCTCACCCACACTCTTCAGGTTCCCCCCGGCCTTGGCCGCACCACCACCCTCCTCCAACTCGCGCAGCTGCTTCCGCTTATAATCCAACAACTGATCCAGCTCGCGCTTGACCAGCGCGGGCTTGGAGTCGCGCTGGCCGCCCTTGCGGCGCTCCACGCCGGCCTCGACTTTCGCCATCTTCTCGTCGAGCTCGGCCAGCTGCTTCTTGAGCCGCACCTCCTCCCACTCGGCATCCGTCTTGGCGCCGCTGCTGAAGTCCGTCCCCGCGCTCTTGAACCCGCTGCGCCCCAGCCGCGTCAGGTACTGGTCCCCGAACTTGGCCTTGCGGCCCGTGCTCGTCTCGTCGTCCGCCCGCGTCGCCCACCGGGACTGCGCCGCCGCGTTGTTGCGCGCGCTGTCGATCTGGTAGTCGATCTGGTTGCGCTCGAAGCTGGCGCGCAGTGAGGCGGGCACCGTACGGGGGATGCGGAAGCCTTCGTGGCGGTTGTTGAGGATGTGCAGGAAGGCGAGGCAGGCGTCTTTGTTGATGGAGGAGCCGGCGGATGGGTTGATCAGGTTCCAGGCGGAGCGGATGTCGGTGTCGGGTACTTCGAGGGATTCGTAGAGGTCTTGGAGGGCGGAGACTGCGTAAAAAGAGGGGGGGTTGGTTAGCTGTGAAGGGTGCCTTGGGGAGGAGGGTGCGTCGGGGACTCACATGCTACCTCGCCGCGCATGTCTCGGTTTTCTTGGTAGATCTGCTCGTACTTGGCCTTGTCGGCTGGGCTCATGTACCAGTCGAACCCATCTTTGAGGCCGGGCGAGTCGTCCTCGTCCTCAACCTGCTCGAACTGAACCGCCTTGCCCGTGAGCGCCCGGTTCGCCTGCACGAGATGCGCCTTGGACTCGGGGACCAGCCAGTCCGGTAGGGTCGTTGGTACGTCGGCGTATTCCCCATTTAGCAAGTCGAAAATGACGCGCATGGCGACGCAGAACTCTTCGAAGTCGAGGTTGCCGTCATTGTCGACGTCGGCCAGGTCCCACACACGCTCCAGTTGATCGTCCCGCAGCCCGCTGTTCTTGAGCACCGGCGCCGCCTGTTCGCCATTTAAAAACTTGCCGCCATTTGTCCTGGTCGAGAAGATGTTCCAGTATGTCTCGATTTCCTGGGCCTCGATGCGCGGCGCCATGTCGTCGGCTGGTAGGGGTGTTCGGCGAATTCTGGGGGGAAAGTCGGTCGGAGTAAGTGGGGATGGCGAGGTAAATTTTCCGCTAATTTGCCAGCGTGGCTAGGTAATTGAGGGAAAGCGTAGGAACCGGCGAGATTATCTATTCAAGGTCGAGGTGCTCTCGTCCGGTGTTGCGGAGGGTGGTGTTAAGGTTGTTGCGCAGGGTAGCATTGAGTTACGCAGCCCACTCGTAGCCATCCACCCCTGTCTGTCGGCTCCGCCCCTTTCTGGGCGATGTCAACTTATAAACCAACCTCACCCGCACTCCGAAATCACCGATGCACTTTAATTTTAACAATGCTGTTGCATTTTCTTTTACAAAATATTACAGAATACAATACACCCAACAAATTCCAACCCATCCGCCAAAAAACCAGCGTGGGTATCTCGGAGGTCTGCTCCAACCGCTGCCCGCTGTTGCTGTTGCAGCAACCCAGCAGCTTCTATCCAGGCATTTTAACCATCCGAACCTTGGAGCCCCTAGTTCAGATGACGCCTGTCCATCCGTTCTCGGGCTACCCGTCCCTCAATCGAGGAGTGAAATGAATGTGAAAAGGACCAAGCAACCGCAAGAGAAATAAAGAAAAGCAACGACATATTCCCAACCGCAAGGAAAAAGCAAAAAGAAAGAAAGAAACCCGAATTGGAAGCAAAAAAAAAAAAAAACCTCCCCAAATCAGCATCCCCTAATTAAAACCCTCATACCCCCCAAACCGCGACCCCAATCCCCCATGGGGCTGCGAACCCCCACCACCACGCCCACCAGCAGAACTCCCCCCCAAATTCGGATACAACAGTTCCAGCATCGGCTCGGCATGCGCCAAAAACGCCTCATCACTCTCAAACCGGTCCCTCGTCGCCACATGGTACCGGTCGCACTGGGCATTCAGCTCTGCCACGCGCGCCGCCACGCGGGGGTCGCGGAGTCCTGCGCCTCGGGCGGGGACCGGGACCGGGGCTGCCGGCATGGTCGGGAATGCTGCCGGCATGGTTGGGGCGGCAGCAGCAGCAGCGGTGACAGTTGAGGGGTTGGCGGCGGCTGTTATGGTTGAGGAGGGGGGGAGGGGGCTCGGGCGCGGCGGGACGCGCGTGGGTGGGGGGGTATGGGGCGCGGCAGCTGAGAACCGGGGCTTGGGGCCGCGTTTGCGGGGCGCGCCGGGCGGTTGGGCGGTGATGCTGCTGCTGCTGCTGCTGGCGGTGCCGGTTGTGGGGCTCGGGGTCCGGGGGAGGGGGACGGCAGGGGCGGTGCACGGCGATGCTGGTGAGGGTCTGCGGGTTGGATAATCCGGTGGGGGGGTAGGGGGTTGGGTGGGTGTCCGGGCCGGCCGAGGAGGCTGGTGTGGGGGTCGGTTGGAGGATGACTCCTGCTCCTGTTCCTGTCTCGCCGTCTGTCTCTGGCTGGCTGTTCGAGGTATTGGTATCGTCCGTGTCCTTGGTTGTTTCGAGCTTCCTTGCGCGACGGACTGTCCGCTCGGATGGTGTGTAATCAGGCGGCGGCGCGAACGACCAAATGACGCCCGTGGCGTTGACCTGGAAAGTGCCGCCTCCAAAGTTGCCGCCAGGACGATATGTGAGCTCGTCACGCGTGAACCGCTCCTCGAATTCGGCACGGGTCATCTCCTCGCCCTCGGTCGACCGCATCTTCTTTGTGCCGTCGCATGAGAAGTTTGGGCCGCCGCGCCTCGGCCGACTCTTTTGGCGCTTGATGGGCTCCCCGTTCTCGTCGAGCTTGGGCTCGCGTTTCTTGCGTGGAGCGCGCTTGTTCGCCGCATCCTCCCCTTCCTCTCCGTCTTCGTTGGCCGGTTTTCTGCGCGTATAGGAACGCTTCGGAGCCCGCTCACCCTCTGCTCCGTCCTCGTTGGCCGGCTTTCTACGTGTATAAGAACGCTTCGGAGCCCGCTCACCCTCTTCTCCGTCCTCGTTGGCTGCTTTTCTGCGCGTATAAGAACGCTTCGCGGGCCGCGGAACAGGGTTGGCGGGAGTGGGCTCTGCGGACGGGTGGTTCAAGGGGGGGTTCTCCGGGCCGGTGTGGTCGTTGGCGGTCGGCGTGTTGGATGGGTTTTGAGGACCTTCGGTGGTAGAGGCCTGACGGACGAAGATGACCGGCTGCTCTTGGGGACCGGTGTTGTTGCTAGTTGTCGGCACATTAGATGGGTTCTCAGTACTTTGGGTGGTAGGGGGTTGAGGGATCGCCGGTTGCGCTGAGGGTCGGCCTGGTGCCCTGGGTGTGGCTGGTGACCGTCGTCGGGCTGTGTTGGATGACTGGCGCCGACTCCCGGTGGTCGTGGGCGGAGGCATCAGCAGATTTGGATCAGAGGGAGCAGGGAGAGGATATTTCCTCGGTCTTCCCGGGCCCCTGCCGGAACGCGGACGCTTGGATGCCTTGTTGGCGGGGTACTTGAGCGGGGATTCGGCGCGAGCGCGCTTCCTTGTCTCGGACGCCCGTGCTCTGGGTGCTCTCGGTCTCGGCCTCCTTGCCGCTGGTCGATAATCGCCATCATCCGGATCGTCAGTGCGAGGACGAGGTCCGCCTCTACGACCCGACAAGCGAAAGTCTTCCTCTTCACTCTCAAATTCCTCCTCGTCATCTGTGGGTGCCTCGACTACGAGCGCCGGAACGCGCGGGCGTGGCGGAGACGGGGGCGGGAGGAGCTCATCCTCGAAGTGGACCTGGGTCTGCCGTCTGGGAGCCGCCGCTGTGAGTTGGTCGATGCGTGCCGCCACCTCTGGGGCTTGTTGGCCCAGAACAGGATGTTGCATGCGGCGGAAGCGACTAAGGGAGTCGGCAATGGGATCATCCTCGGTGAACCTCACCCGTTCCATGGAGAGGCGAGGAATCGCGGCAGCAATGGGGTCCGCCTCGGAGAGATTGGTTCGCTCCAGAGAGGCTGCCGTGGCTCCATAGACCACATTTGGTCCGAGGCGGGGACGGGGGCGCGCGAGGATTCCGGGGCCGGGAGCTCGGAGGGCAGAGGTTATGCGCGCGGACTGGCGGATCGCACCACTTCCCATCTCGTCGTCTTCGTCGTCGTCGTCATCGTCATCATCCTCGGCTATCGTCGGGGAAGACGCCGGTTCATCGCCAGGGGCGGAAGGAGGGACGGCGGGAGCGCTGCCCGACACGGAGGAGGTGTTGTCGCCAAAGATGTCGAGGGGGGAGTCATCATCGAACGGGTTGACGTACCCGTTGTGCGGTGCGTTCGTGTGCGGGTCGGCCCACCGACCGGGCTGGTGCTGGGAGTTCAACCCCTCCTAAGGGTCAACTTGCCCAGCGTTGTACCAGACGGGGTTGGTGTCCGCCTCAGCGAGGGGCAGCAGGTGGCTTACGTCGTAATCGATGTTGGCGTCGGCAACCGGCGAGGATCCCAGCATACCCCCCGTGGGGTGGGCGGCGTTGAGGGCCTCCAACTCCTCCTCCGTCAAGAACGTGGCCTCGCTGGGGACGAGGGAGTGGGCGGTGAAGACCGCCAGGGAGGTGCCCGGGATGATGCCGGCATCGTAGAGGGCCTCCCAGGCAGGCCAGTCCGACTTGTCCAGGGTCGAGTACCTGCGGCCGCTCTTGCCCCCGACGGTGTAGTTCATCGGGTGCAAGCCGCCCGACCGCGGCACCCGAGCCAACCCCAACTTCTTGGCGCGGACGAGCGGGGCGCCAGGCCTCAACCGCAGAGGGTTGATGGTGTCGGCCGGGGGGTCCAGCCGAAGCAGGAGCTCCCCCTCCTTCAAGTCCAGCAGCCTCCTGGCGCTGCTGTCCTCGCCCTCGCCGCCGGCCAAGAAGCTGAAGTCATCGACGAGGTGCCGGCACCCCCCGTCGATCTGGACTTCGTGGAAGTCCGCCCCCGTCCCCTCCCAGAACCCCAACCGCGCCGCCACCCCACGCAAACCCAGGAACTTGAGGAAGGCCCGCCCGCGGCGCACCTCCCCGGCCGTGATGCCCTCGTTGATCGGGCAGAGGGGGGCCAGTTCCTCCGCCGAAGGGACCTCGGCGCTGTGCGGGTGCTGCGCGAGCAGCTTCCCCCACTTCCTCTGCTTTTTGCGCTCCTCGGTGATCAACCCGAGGAGCGACTTGATCTCGACGTGGCTGAGGTCGAGATTCTGGACGGCCCGGGATAGGGGGCCCGTCCGAGCCATGTCGTAAGCGATGGCAAACTTGATGCCATCTGAGAGGTCGCCCCAGGTGGGCCGGCCGCCGCGCTAACAAGTGTTCGTTAGTTTTGTTGCTTCCAAATCTTGAGATGTTTTTGTTCTTCTCTTACCGTTCTCCCACCGGTGCTGTCACCGCTCTCGTCGTCCGAGCGGGCGGGGGAGGTTTGCTGCCCCGGCTGGCGCTTGGGGATTTGCGTCACGTGGGCCGGGCGGGTGGAGGGCGCCGAGGGGGTGGTGGTGGTGCCGACGGGTGTGGTGGTGGGGCCGGGGGTTGCGGCGAACGGGGTGGGTGGTGCGGGCTGGGCGCTCTGGCCCTCGCTGTCGGAGTCCGAGCCGCTGGTCTCGGCGTCCTGGTCGTTGCCTGCGACCCCCCAGCTTTCCTCTCCGTCGACCATCACCATGACCGACTCCTCCTCCACCTCCTCTTCCTCTTTGTCGTCCTCCTCCTCTGCTGCTGCTGCCGCTTCTTCGGCTGCAAGCAACCGGGCGCGCTCTGCTTCGGAAGGGCCCACGCCCTCGTAGTCCAGCGGCAAGCTGGGGTGGGCGCAGTGCCGCGACAGCGCGGGGTTGAACGGCACATCGGGGTGCGCAAAGAGTGGGCGGTCTGCTCTCGAGGGCCCAAGGTCCTCCTGGTACCGCCCGGGCACCCTCAGCAGCGAGCTCTCGCGGAGCCGCATTCTGGACGGCATCTTGCCGGCAGTCTGGTGATGTCGCTCCGGGGGGGGTTGAGAGGGGCGTGCTTTGGGCCGTGAGGAGCTGGTTAAATGGGGAGAAAGGGGGTTTGTTTGTTTGTGGGCGCCCTAATAACCTGGGCGCGCGGTGGCTGGTTTGAAGGCCGCGGTAGCGCTTGTCGTGCTTGTGCTTGTACCTGTCTCTGCGCCTGTGTCTGCGCTTGAACCTATGCCTGTGCCTGTGTCTGTGCCTGTGGCGGGGGGACTTGGTGATCTAGTCGGTTGTGGTAGTGGCAGTGGTACTGTGAGCGAGCGCCGCGCTTGTGGCGGAGAGAGGGGGACCGTGTCTGTCTCGATGGACAGAGAGAAGAGAATCAATGGGTCTACCTCGGCGGGCAGAAAGAAAGGAGAGAGAAAACGGGAGAGCGCGGGGGCTTCCTGGTTTGCTGGCCGCCTCAGTTGGCAGCGGATTGCGTCTTGCGCGTCGGCTTTTGAAACGAAAAGTGAAGAAAGGCTGGGCCTCTTTGTCGGCCACAGAGACGAAGAGAGGATGGAAGATATTGGTCGGCCGGCGAGCTATCGCAAAAGGAAGAGGCGTGCGGGTCACAACCACGGGAAGAAACGAAGGGTGGTATCTTTGTAGCTCCCGTCGGCCATGGAAGAAAAAGGGAGGGCGGTCTTCGCTGGTGGTTATCGCGAAGGAGAGAAGAGAGGAGCGGAGGGCTTCTTGTTGGCCAGGAGAAAAAGAAGAAGAGGGGGGAGGGTTGGCCAGGGAAAAAGAAAAGAGAGGGAGGAGGCTTCCTCTGCGGGTAGTTGTGTTGAAAAGAGGGTAGAGAGGAATTCTTGCTAACCACAAAAGATAAAAAGAAAGGAGGAGGACCTTTGGTCGCGTCTTGTCACGGTGGAAGGAACGCGTTGAACTACTCCCACAAGCATGTGTTCGCGCGTCTTGCCATTTGATTATCTCATGGCGATAAGGACGCGTCTTTCTACTCTAGCACAAGAATTCAAACGGAGGAAAAGAGCTCCTTATCTCCCAGTATCGCCAGGAGGCCACAGCAACAGAGGGTCTTCCTGGTTCGCCACAAGGAAAGAGAGAGGTAGTCTTGTTTGATTGACTACCTCGTGATGAGCTAAACAGAGAAGGAAAGATGATAACAGTGCCACCTGTGAGACCGGACGAGAAGTTGGGTGAGAACAATAGAAGGGGGTGGAACAAATAGGGCCGTGCTCTCACAAACAGTGCGGTTTATTGTTTGGTTGAAAACAAGCTGACCAAGGGAGTTGGAGGGCTGGGCTGCCCTAAAAGCAAACAAACAATCTGCTCTTTAACCAGGAACAAACTGCATCAGTAGGGAATCAAGAGGTCATTGTGGGGTTGGAAGAGATGAGTCACAAGGGAGAAGGAGGAAATAGCAAGGCTGAAAAATGTTTGGACTCAGGGAAGTGCAAAGAGTTGGAATATCAAAGCCACTATTCAAAGACGCCATAACGAGTGGCACACGCGTGGTTGCAATCGTCTGAACAGGGACGCGTTTGGTGAGTCCTGGAAGGAGTGAATCTGCCTCACAACTTAACCATTCAAGCTGGGCACGAGCCAACACCATAATAGGTAGTATAGCAATGGGGGTTGATACCCTGACACTCATAGTTTTTCCGGGCCACAAGTACATGTACTTTCATTGTAATTATTTGTCTTTCTAGAGCATCCATTTCTGCCGCTTTTGATCTTTCAAGGACATCACAGATTTGAATTCTTTTGGGCCGCGAAGACTGCAGAACATGTTATTTACATCAAGCTGTGGACGATCATTCTATTGACTGTTGTCGAGGGTGATAAAAAAGGGGCTTTGTTTACAACCGTCGTGCCCTCATTTGAGCCACTAGTTTACAAGTGTATGTCCCACATACCTGCAGCGTCAAAGAAAGTCAAGGAAAGTTGTGAGCTCCTGTCCACAGCCCTGCCTCCCAATAAGTGATACGGGTTGACCTTTACTAAGCATGGCAGCAGATCTCGTGTGAATATGGTTCCCCTTGGCCTTCCGTAGTGCGCTGAGTTAGTACTGACATTTGGCTCAATCCCAAAGAGCAAATCAATCAAACCAATAGAACATATATTTAGCATCCGAAGGTCGAGTATCGAGGGGTTGGTGTTATGAAAGCGTTGCAAGATGGAGGAGAATTCAAGATGTGACAAGACAAAGCAGCTTCTCCCCGGTGGACATGGCTCTGTCAATCAAACAGCGAATATCATTCATGGAAACGGTTTACTACGGCCATCTCTCCACCGGTTCACTTTGCTACCTAGACCAACAACATAAAATGTACGGCCAATATGTCATAAATACAGGGCTATAAGATATGGGCGGCCACAGGAGATATTACTCGGGCGAGCAGTCCAGGGCTAGACGGCCGAACAAGGGCAAAGGAGGCGGGCTTCGTCATATCTTGGCTCGATGCGTGCATGAGGGTCTTGACTTTAGATCCGTTCTCCAGCGTCCCCATGGTCTCGGCCCGTAAGCCGTCTGTCTTCTTTGATAGAGTCTCGGTGCCTACGGCACCATTTGTTGGCTTACCCTCCAATATAAGCACCGCCCATTTGTTTAGATAGATGCAGCCGTCGGTGAGGGTCGTCCCGGAGGTAGATATCACAATAATTAGGGTTCCTCCCGAATGTGAACCTAAGCGAGGTGTCCTTGACCTGTGACGAAAACCGCAAGGCTATGTGGTGCTCCCCAACCTCGGATTGGACTATGATGGACGTTTCCGGCCAACCTACAAGTCATCAAGTTCTTAACAAACCATGGGGCGCAAGTTGGTGGCGGGTCAAGCCTCAGTAGCTACCTAAGAGAGAAGACGATTCATCCCGGCCGTTCCTCGCCTCGATTCAAGCGGTTTTGTTTGTGTATGATTTTGGGTGTTGCATTTCTATCATCTGCTTCTCCATAACCACAAGGGTCCGATCCATGATACCCGTCTCCAGAACATGAAATCTTCGGATAAGAATTGGTAGGGCACTCAATTAGACGAGAAGTAGCTACCAGCTCCCTCGAGTGTTTTGACATCCTACACATTGTCGGTATTCGTCGGGGTGCACGCAAAGAGATGCATCTCTTCGTTGAACAGTGATATTCATAAAATAAACGGAACGCTCATCAACTCCCGTGTCACCTCTTCGGCTCGCCCTCATAAACCAAATCCTGAGCCGACCTACGCGCCTTGGCACCCGCCTTCAGCTTCTCCCACCGTTCCCTGTACTTTTCCAACGTGACTTGCAACTTCAGATGATCCTTTTCCAGGCTGTTCATGCGCTGCACCATCTCGCTCATCTGCTCTTCAAGCTCCCGGTTCCGTTTAATCAGCGCTTCCTCCCTGGCCCCGGCCGCTGCCTGACCTGCCGCCAGTCCCTGACCGCTAGATGAGATGGGGGAGGTGGGCCGTTGCAGTCGCAGACTTTGGGCCAGCGCAAGATGTGAGCTCTGGGAGTTGAGCTCGAAATTGTGCAGCCGCTTGCTCACCTTGTCGAGCACGTCCTTGAGGGTCGAGTTCTCGAGGTGCAGCTCCTCGACAATGTTGCGCAGGTCCTTGTCTGACCGGGCCCTGGCCAGCAGCTTCCGGAAGGTCGGCGACATGGGCGCTTGTGACTCTCGGGCATCGACAAAGTCGTCTTCGTCTTCGTTGTCCTCGTTTTCGTCCCCGCCGCGGTGCATCGACGCTGCTAGGCGACGTTTCTCTTTATTTTCGTGGTTCAGGACGCTGGCGTACGAGGCCGTATGTCCGCTGGTGGGAACCACGTAAAAAGAGTCTGCTGCGCCATGGCCGTCACGTTCGAGGGATCGGAGCGTGGCGCGAGAGTAAATCTTGGAGAGATCTGGCTCGGCGGCTGTGGAGGTTTTATGCCGAGGCTTCCTTTGAGGCGGCTCACTAGGGTGAGAGGTAGGTGCGGGCGTTGACTCCTCTGGAACCAGGGGTAGGCCGGTAAACGCCAGGGGGGCCGAGAGCCGGTTGATCAAGCTGTTAAAGGTACTGTAAAACCGAGAGAAACCATCTTCGCTCGGAGTCGGGCTGCTCGGTTCGGTCTTCGTGGGTTCGTTGGCGGTATCTTCCCTGGTGACTGGGGGTACCCAGCTCGGATCCCGCGCTTGTTCCAGCTGGTTTCGGGGCTTGCTCCTCGAAGAACCCTCTCGACGGGGTCGGACCTCCAGACTCCCCGGCGCTTGGTCGTTCGAAACACTTGGTGTGAGCGGTTGTGTGCTATAGCTCGCCCGGATGCCTCGTGCCGACGCCAAGTTGCTCGCGATCGAAGATGAGAGGTTGCGACCAGGGTATCGTGAATGGGACAAGGTAGGAGGAGGCTTCGCGGTAGGTTTCTTCTTGGTGGGAAGTAGATCCTCTTGTCGAGTCACCGCCTTGTGATCGCCCTCTTCCCGTTCCTCCTTCTCGTCCTCCTCGGGGATGTTATCGGGGCCAGCCTGGCTTGGTGGGCCGCGGGGCAACTTAAGCAATTCCGACAGTTGTTTGTGTTGCTGCTCGAGCAACCTCAAGGTCCGTAAAGCTTCATAGCTGTTCGTAGTTTTGGAAGCATTCGCAAACTCGGCGGCCGCTTGAGCGTGCTCATCGATAGCGACGGTCGTGTCCGAAGTCTGTGTCGCAATTGCCGCCGCCCGTGCGTGATCATGCGCCTGAACAGTCAGCTACTTAAGAGCTCAGCCGCTGGTAGCAGGGCGTACCTTTGTCAAAGGGGATGATTCCATGTCTCGACAATCGGGTATCCCACCAGAATATCAAGGCATTTGTGAGCGCTTGGATTTGAACGGTTGACAGTTGACGGTGACGGATCGGGGATGGCGGGGAACAGGACGGTGACGGCGTAACGGCAGTGTTTGTAGGGCTGGAAGCGACGGGAGTTGTTGCCACTGTAAAGTACCCCAGGCTCGGGGATTTGGAGAAGGTGCATGGGTACCGACTTGCATCTTTTAGACTTACCCCACTAAAGCGAAAGAGGGAATCTGTATGCGTACTCTAAAGCACCGAGTGTAGATTGAAACAGGACCGAAAATAGCCAAGCTATCAAGAAATCAGAAGTAAAACCGAAGAGCCAGGTCTCTAGTCTTTCGAAAGTAGTTTGTGAGAATAACTACAAGTTAATCATATTCAAATGCTCCACAGCTACCCCTGGAGCAACCCAGCTCCCCCCAAGTACCTCCCAACTCATATTTACCCCTGTAACGACAGCAACTTCGGTTACATTAACCACGGTACGAATATCCCCCAACTGAAATACGGTGGTGGAACACACCAACTTCAAACACATTTGAGGGGCTCACAAGCTCGCCCCCAGCCATCCTGCCATTATCGTAGCATTGAGTTTTAAGCCCCTTCTTTTCTCGTACATTTGAACTCTTTCACCTCAACTCTCAATATTCGAAATCTGACCCACTGCTACACCACAAATTGCCCGATCACACCAATTGCCGCCGGTCTCGGCGTCATGACAGCCAGGTATTATTGTGTATGACATCCGCTGTCTCACACTGGCAGCCTGCATCTCGGACTCAACGGCAGGAGGTCATTTGGACGCCGCAACGCCGCCACAATGGAGACCCCGACGAGCCAGTCCAACGGGATCGGAAAGCTGCTGCCCAAGTCCATCGCAGCAAAACGGCGGCGCAACAAGAGCTCGTCGACGGCCGAAACGGCAAGCATCAGTGATGACGTTGTGTCGCAGCGAAGCGGCATCGCCAGTCGCAGCACTTTTGGCAGCGACACCAACTCTCTCAACGGCAGCCTAAAGAGCAACAACACGGACCCAGCTATCGATGACTTGGACCGGGAATCGTGAGTTATCTGTCCCCTTCTTTCCCTCTTTCCCTCTTTCGCTTTTCATCAATGTGCCAATTCGCCAACCCTGTCCGTCTGCTCTTGGCAGTGGATGCGGAGTACGCGTATTGCTCGTACAATACTGAGAACACGTACAAACTGCCTCCGCAAAATGCCCATGTGTGCGAGAGCCGTATGCACGTATTCACTAGTAGCAGCTCCGAGAGCTTTGGTCCCACCCGGGGGCCATGAACATCGCCTGCGCCTCCCCCAGCAGACGTTTCTGCCGCTGGATGTTGGCCCTCGCATCAGCCTCATCCCGTCTTATTATTCTTCCCACTGTTCCTGTTCCATTTAAATTCCCAAATTCCCGGATTTCCGGATTCGTCGTCTCATCATAGCGTTTTTCTTTGTATCTTCTACGGGGCTGGCCCTGCCTTGTCGCAACAACTGACATCACTCCCACCACTCGCTAGCACCAACAGGCCCACCGCCACCTCTACCAATTCGTCACCAATCGATCACTTGACGACGGCTTCCTCGCCCTTAATACAGGTTTCGCACGAGTCAAGACCGCTCGCTTCCGACACGAACTCCCAAAAGTCCACGCGGTCGCCTATTTTACCCCAGGATAGCTCCGACAGTCTCGAGTCGGCCCCATCTCTCGACCGGAGCCGGACCACACTTGGGCCTCCCGAACTCCGTCCAAAACGATCCTCTAGCCGATTAAGAGACGTCTTTAGGCCGAAGAAGACCTCGAGCGACGAAAAGAGCTTAGCTTCTGAGGAAAAGTCGGAAGACACACCAGTACTCGACCGTCATCAAACCGAGCCTAAGACCTCCGTCGACCGCAGCCGACGTTTTTCGCGGGGCCAACAGCTCGAGCCGTTGAAGGTACCACCTCGGACCCCACCTGGAGAACCAGCTGCGCCCGTCATTGTGAACACGCCGCCGACACCGACCGATACCCAACCAGGTCTTGCCTCGGCTACCGGTCCTCGTCGCCCCGCCGATGCGGTTCTGGCGCAGAGCATGATCACCCAGAGACGGAGGGCAGGCTCCAATGCTGGCCCAAGCAAGCTCTCTAACGTGGCCGCCCCACCACTGACGCCAACGCCCGAGAACGGCCCGGCGTCGCCTGGCAACCCTGCTGCCACCTTTTTCTCTTCTATGTTCTCGGCGGTCCAGAACACCGCCAACTCCCTCACCACCACAATACCCGCCCTTGCCCAGGGGCCCCCCAAAAGTAAAGGGACACCGGTAAAAGAGCAGCAGGCCGATAGGGAGCTGGACGCCGTCGAGGTGGAATCCGTGGCTTCGCAACGACCGTCTACAGAGCCCAAGGAACCAGCCGTTAAAACACTTGGCATGGGCGACCTCAGTCTCAGCCAGTTGGGCATTGCCGAGGCCCCGAGCGCAGCTCCGAGCCCTATCATTGCGCGCTTCTCCGACTCCGAAACCCGATCGAGATCCGAATCCGCCCCAGCAGAACCGCATATCGCCGGCATTGACCTCCCAGAAGACCCGAATGCCTCCCGGCCGCGGTCCGTCCAGGAATCAGCGGGAGGCGAGCGGACGACCCCAGCCGGCAGCGTTTATGAGGACAAGACGGGCATTCATCGCAGCGGTAGCATACGCAGCGCTATTGGCCATCGTAGGAACCGCGGTAGTAGCATTGCCACCCATGGGACCGCAGCCACTAGCACTATCGGCGCTGCCATTGCGGCCGCCAACTCCTCGCTGGTTAACCCAAACATCGGCGCCCCGAAGCTTACCGGATTCGCCGTTGCGAACAAGAAGAGAAATCGCGATTTTCACGTGCTATTCAAGAGTGTCCCCGACGACGACTACCTAATTGAGGACTACAGCTGCGCCCTGCAACGCGAGATTCTCGCACATGGCCGCCTGTATATCTCCGAGGGCCATCTCTGCTTCAGCAGCAACATCCTCGGTTGGGTCACGACGCTCGTGATGAGCTTCGACGAAATTGTCGCGGTCGAGAAACGCAGCACGGCTCTGGTGTTCAAGAACGGCCTCGAGATTTCTACGTTGCATGCGAAGCATGTCTTCGCTTCGTTCGCCAGCCGCGACACCACTTACGACCTTATTATCAAAATTTGGAAGCTTGGCCACCCCCAGCTACAGAGCTCACTCAATGGCGTCCGTCTGGAAGAGCCGGGTGGCGATCGGACAGAAAAGCTCGACGCGGAGGCGGTATCTGTGACGGGTACACAGAGCATTTCAGGGTCCGAGGAGGAGAGTGAGGATGGAGATGACGTCTACGACGAGGACGAGGATGAAGAGGACAGCCAGGCGGGCGGGCCTGTGTCTGACGGACCTGTTTCTGACTTCACCGAAAAGGCTGTGCCACGTAAGGTCTCCGGCGGTGCGGCACCTGCCGAGAAGCAAGAGGACGGTGCCCCAGCGGGCGGTACTGACTTCCCTGGGCCCGCGACACACGCACCCACCGACTGCGGAGATGGGCCGACGCATTACGAGAAGGTGCTGGGTGACGATGTTATCCCCGCTCCGCTCGGCAAAGTGTACACCATGTTGTTCGGTCCCGCCTCGGCAACGTGGATGGGCCGGTGGCTCACCACGGACCAAAAGTGCACTGACCTTCAGATGGAGGACAAGCGTGGCCTGACAGACGAGATCAGGACGCGCAATTACACGTACATCAAGCCGTTGAATGCTTCGATAGGGCCGAAGCAGACAAAGTGCGTCGTCACGGAGCAGCTCGAGCACATTGACCTCGAGAAGGCGGTCAACGTTCTCGTCAGTACACAAAACCCCGACGTTCCCAGTGGCAATATCTTTGTCGTCAAAACCAAGTATTGTCTTACATGGGCGGAAAACAATGGCACCCGCATCCAGATCAACAACGTCATAGAATGGTCCGGCAAGAGCTGGCTGAAGGGTACGTTATCCCTTTCCAGTCCACATTGTCCGTTACAAAATTAACCGACTCTTTAGGTGCCATTGAGCGCGGTGCAAACGACGGCCAATCGCAATTCTGCAAAGACCTCTTCGCTGGTCTCAAGGCCGCCGTCTCGTCCCGAGCACGGTCCAGCACACTGAACGGTGCGGCCACCCGCGGCAAGAAACGCGGCCGCAAGGGCAAATCTGCCCTCACCTCGAACCCTGCCAGCGATGCCGAGGGCGCCGCCAAGGCCTTGACCAAGCAGAGCTGGGGGCTCTTCGAACCCGCACGACCTATTCTTAGCCCTGTCGTTGACACCATCCGGCCCATTCTCACCGGCAATGTTGTCTACGGCTTACTCGTGGGGTTACTGGTTGCGTCCTGGTTCGGGTTCGGCACCCGCCAGGGCGCGCCACGGTATTCCCACGATCCGGCGTACGCCAACGCGCCACAACGGCTGGCGGCATACGAGGAAATGTGGAGGAAGGAGGAGAGCGATCTGTGGGAGTGGATCGAGGAGCGGGCCGGTTTGGAGAGGCTGGGCGCCGACCCGCCGCTGAGGAAGCGGACCGTCGATCCCAGGACGGTGGAGGAGAAGCTGAGGGAGGAGAGGATGGATGAGCGAGAGCTGAAGGAAGCGATACGGATTACCGAGGAGCATCTCGAAGTGCTGAAATCGGTGGTGGGGAGAGAGGGCGCGGGGAGGTGACGGGGGAGGATGTGATGTGATGTGATGACATCTCTCACACTACACTCATTGCGGCGGGGCGCCATGGCTGATTCTTTTTGTTGTATCAATTCTGGGGGTAGGGTTTAAGGTATCATAAACTGTGCATAAGCGGACAATTCTGACATTTACTTGCTGTCACCACTCCTCCGAGTGCCATCTCGCATCTCGCACTCGTGGACTGTCTGGGGACTAAAATGATAAATTGATATTCACTTCGGTTAACTAATGGTGGCCCGTTCGTCTCAGACTAGCTTTCCGCGTATTCCTCACAAGTGGAAAGTCCCACCCCATTCCCCTGTACGCGGAAAAGGAGAACAGGGTCGAAAAGGAGTACCTGAGTAAACAGGGAAACGTCGAGTCCGACACAACACCCCAGTCTCGCAAACACGGTTCAACACCTTGCTTCAGTTTCACTAACAGTAACATCGTTTCCTCTTCAGCCAAATGACCCCACAATCCAAATACCTAGATACTCTGCTATGCCTCGACTACCGAATAAACTGGTTTTTACCCATCCTCAACGCCATACAATGCAATGCAGTGCACCCAAACTCAGTCCAGCAGCAGCATTACCAGTCATTAAAGCCAGCGCCACCCCCTTTTTTCCCTTCCATTCAAACACCCAATTGACTGCCAACCCTCCCCGCTCGTCACGTACACATCTCAATAACATAACCCCCCCACTAGTTAGTTAGAACCCCCCAAAAGAAAGAAAAACCCAAAACACTCTTACTCTACCAAACCTCCGGCCCAAACCTCCCCCCCTCCGGCACAGTCCGCCACGCACACGCCCGCCAGTCACACCCCCTCTTATACACCTCGGTCCCCCACCAGCTGAACCCGCGCACGACGCCGGGATACACAAACCCAAAGAACACGACGACAATCCCAAACGCCAGGCCCGAGTCCAGCGCGGCGCTCATGGTCATGGTATACTTGGCCCACCAGGCCGGGGCGCGGCGCTTGACGAGGTAATTGAAGATGTAGCAAACAAGGGCCCAGACGGAGAAGTTGAGGCCCGTGGCCGGGGGAATCCAGCCGAGGGAGCCGAAGAGGACGGGCAGGTTGATCTTGCGGACGAGGGAGCGCGGGCGGCGGCGGGCGTAGAGCCAGAGCGGGAGGGGCAGGATGGCGCCGACGGCAAAGGCCCAGATCAAGGGGCGGTAAGTGGCGGAGGGGCCGAAGAACTCGGCGGGGCCGACGACGCCCCAGAGGATGGAGCCGTTGAAGTGCACGCGGGCGATGGGGCAGGTGAAGCCGTTGATGGCTTGCGGGGTGCAGAGGCCTGGGACGTGGACGAACATCCAGTTGAGGACGGCGATTTGGGTGATGGAGGAGATGACGGTGGCGACGATCTGGACGATGAAGAGGATGCGCGGGGGGATCTTCATGTAGTGGCCGAGTTTGAGGTCGGCGGCGAACTTGATGCCCTGCGCGGAGGAGATGTAGCCGTAGGTGACAAAGACCATGTTGGCGACGGGGCGGCCGGGGAAGAGGATACCGGCGATGAGCTGGCAGATTAAGTAGATGGAGGAGTGTTGGTTGGTAACGGCCATGATAATGCCGATGGGGATGAAGAGGATGGTGCAGATGGCGAGCGCGAGGAGGAGGCCGTACCAGGGGAGGTGAATCGGGTAGCTGGGCTGTTAGCAACCGGTCAAACCGCACACTCTCGCATCAATGGGAAAACTCACTACTCGACGACGAAGATGCCAATCGCCGTCATCGAGACGAAGGTCATAAGATACCACATCATCGGGGCATCCTTGTACCTCCTCATCAAGCGATTGTGGACATCCTCGCGACTCATTATGTTGTCGATGCTCATCGAGGACCTGTTTGCTCTCCGGTCTCGGCCATTAGACGATGCAGTCAATCTCTCACTCGGCTCAGACACCGGTCGATATGTACCCTTCTGTTCCCCAGAGGTTTCCTCCAGCGACCGCTTCCACTGCGTCCATATGTCCTTCCCATGCCAACAGGCGGTGTGCGTCAAAAGTGCCGCCAATCCCGCGAACTGCACGCCATAGCTCAGCACATACGTGATGGGCAGGAACACGCGGCTGTACTTGGCGTAGGCCTCTCGGTCGAACATGAAGTCCTTTGTCAACACCTTGCTCACATCGTACACCTTCCCGGTGTTGTCAAACACGGCCGCCGACAGGATCGGCATATACGACGAGTACAGCCAGTTGCTGTAGTACGCAATAGGCGCGACAATCCACATCACCACCACGAGGCCGCCAACCACATTCATGGCTGCCCAGAACGGGGTGAGCAGCGGCGAACCGATGTAGGCGACCTGCGCCCAGTCAAAGGTCAACGGGAACAGCCCCAATCCCGAGACGACGCCGAACAGATTGGCGAGGACGACATTGTCAGGAGCAAACCAGGTGATCACGTTGAAGTAACTCAGCGCCGGCATCAGCAGCCCCGGCAAAAAGTAAAAAAGAAACGCGCCCAGCCAGACGGCGTAGAAGAACTTCCACCTGCTGATCTTCCAGCCGTTGGCCTCCTTGTTCTCCTCCTTGTGGAGGGTGGTGAACATGGCTGCCGACATGAGGGTTCCCGGCCATATCATGCCGCTCGGGCGGACCAAAAAGCGCCGCGTCAGGCCGGCAAAGGTGTATCCCAGTATCTGGGTAGATATTGTCAGCAGGAGCTGGTATACGACACTAGCCTCCTGCTTGTAGAACTGTGTTTGCTCGACGATGACGTCGGTCGCAAAGGCAAAACCAAACGACACATTGCTGCTGACATAAACGCAACTGTGCTCTTTCTCATTCCACCGGCCCTGTGCAAGCCATAACCGGATCCGATCAAGCCTGCCCCTGCCCTCAATGGGGACGAATCGTGAGCGAGGGTCAGAGCTGGCTACCGGCGGGTTGCTGCTCCGGAACCCATCGACATATTCTTCCGGAGGATCGTCGGATCGTTTCAAGAAATAGTCCCACAAGAGACCAAGAGGCTGTACCATTAACAATGCTATAACTGGCGTAATTGCGACACTGGGATATCTTAAAGCGAAAAACAAATTCGTCGAGGAACCAAGAACGGAGAAAAGGATAGATAGAGCCCACATCCGGGGCGTGTTTATCGACAGGCTCGTGTTGTCGGTGGAGGAGACGGAGGCCCGGACCTGCGCGTAGGGTGAATTATCTGGCGGATCTTCGTCGTCGTCGGCGCCCGAGTCGGACACGAAGGACCGTTCATCGTCTTCCTCCTCTTCGCCTTCTAGCTGCTTAGCCGGGTCGTTCAACAGTGGCGTCTCCGTGGTGCCGAATCGGCCCTCGAGGCCCCCAATAGTAGTGGATCCCCCGAGCTCCTCCGACTGCCTGGGCGCCCTCCTCGAGGTCGGTGACCTGGGCTGGGAACCATCACGGCGCCGTCGCACCCCGAACCCCCCCAATGAGTTTCGGCTCGCATCTGATGGCTTTCGAGACCGCACCAACGGGGTGGTGGTCCCCTCATCGGGACTTTCGTCTGAGGGCCGCGACGTTATGGAGCCGTACGAGGGACTGCTATGGCCGGCGGCCGAGTACAACGGCGGGAGATCCTTGGCCATGGGTTCGGGTGCCGGGTCGCTGGGGCTGTCGGTCTCGGTCTGGTCAGCCTCTGGCACAGTCGACTCGAGTCCGCGGCCATGGGGTTCGTCGGTACGTCGTCTTAGTTTGGGCTCGGGGTGTGGAGGGAGCGACGCCGTCGTGCTGTCGTCGGTCGTGTGGGGTGAAGGAGGGGCAGAAAAGTCCGGGGCAAGCTGCGGCGTGGGGCCCTTTCCGAGTGCGGGTCCCGAAACCAAGGATTGTAGTGGAATTGGCTGGTCTGATTCGAGCTGTTTGTCCGATGGAGTGTTTCTCCCACCGCGGAAAGTCATGAGTGGCTTGCTTTTCCCGGATATCTCGGGACGGTGCGGGAAAGAAAGCCCGAAGCTAGCGCGTGGGGGGGTAACACGAAGTCTTGGGGAAGTTCCAGGAAGGTGCTCAGCGGAGGAGCATCTGGGGTAGCAACTATCAACCTAGACAAGAGAGATGGGAATTGCATTGGTTGGGTCTCGATCGGGTCTTTCCTAGGAATAGACAGTAAAGGGTACCCTAGCTTAATTGAACATCGCAGCACTTTCAGCTCGAGAAATCGATGAAAGTTGGAGCTGGATTAAGATAGGTAGATAGGAAATGGAAAGTCACCGATCCTCAGCAAGAAGCAAGCAAGCCAAACCGGACCCCACGCAGAATTCCACGTCGCCCCAGAAGTGGCGCGCTTGGCATTGAAGGACTGCAAAGCAGGGCCGAAACCGTGTCTCAGTTCAGAGATTAGTTAGGGAGGATGGAGATGGAATGGTGGGAAGTTCTCGCAGGATGGGTATAACTAGTTATTATACGAAGTACGGATAAGATAAAACATGCAAGATAAAATCCCCCAATGCTGATGCTTGCCGGGAAGATGCAGCCTGACGACATGTGGTGTGTACTTGTGGGACACCCGCACACACGACATTCCTCGAACGGGACAAAGCGTAGCATTTCTCTCGGCGCATCCACTTGCCGTAACTCCATGCAAGGTCCCCATCCAACCCAGCAAACAAGTCACTCACTCAACCCACATCGCCATACCTCAAAATCGGCCTGCAACAGACACACGTCGCCTCAGCACCCATGTCTGATGTCTCTGGGGAAGAGGACACCATGGCGGCTCTCAACGTGGCCAAACGACACCTCAGAGCTGTCATGAAACAAAAACTCAAAACCGTACCCCAGGAGTCCATCGTGTCGCAGAGTACGGATCCCCGCAGGCACACCTTGATCCGGGGCTAAGCATCGCAGGCTCGACGGTCTACAGCAGGCTCAAAACTCTCAGCGCTTATGCCAAGGCTAAGCGAATCAGCGTGTTTCTTTCCATGCCCACCGGCGAGATCCAGACAGATATCATCGTTCGGGACGCGCTCACGGCGGGTAAGGAGGTTTTTATCCCCTACCTCCACAAGAACCCGGTCCCGGGCCCGGGCCTGCCGCCGCGGGTGATGGACATGGTCCGACTGCGCGACCTGGCCGACTACGAGTCCCTACAACCGGACAAATGGGGCATTCCGAGCATCGACCCGGACACTGTCGCAGAAAGACAACGGGTATTCGGCGGGCCCGATGCCCCGCACTCGGACAACACCCTGCTAGATCTCGTCCTCATGCCGGGCGTCGCTTTCGACACCCACCCCGACAACGGCGCCATCAGGCGGCTTGGGCACGGCAGGGGCTTTTATGATTACTTTCTTTTCCGGCACGGGCTAAAGGCGGGTTCGCTTGGGCAGCAAGAGTCCCCTGTATTGCTTCTTGGCTTAGCCCTGTCTGAGCAGTTCCTATCTCCATCCGAGGGGGCAGTACCTGTTGGTCCCCTAGATCAACCTCTTGACGGCCTCGTGCTCGGAAGTGGTGAGATTAAAGGCACGCTTGCTCCGGCAAATGTAACAGACTAATCAATCCCACACCGATTTTGTCGTGCGCCTGTCCCGCTTTCCCCTGGTATCCCGTTTCGTAGTGTTGGCCGTGTTTGATTGACGTTCTGTGGAAATCGATTCATGTCACGCTTCCGCCACGCGAAAGCAGCGTCCCGCCACCGCCTCACCCGGACACGCTCTGGATGAGGGAAACGTTGTCGCCCTTCAAAAGGATTTGCTACTCCCAGTTAGCCATTGTCGCCCATCGCCCGCCCGGTAAAAACATACTCCCAATTGCCTCCTGGACTCGGTGTCATTCGTCTTAGAAATCTGCTTGACCTCGACCGCGTCGTCGATCTAAAGAACCGTGTCAGACTGGCTAATCGTCCATCTCGGCTTCGGCAATGGCACTTACGACCAGATTCATGAACTCATCAAATCCCTAAATAGCCCGTCAGAAACTGCAAGCCCCAATGTCGGCCGGACCACTTACACGGATGGTGCCAATGATGCGGATCGACAGCTGCTCGTACAACCAGATCTGGACCGTCGTGCGTTGCTGCAGCAAGCGGAAGAGAAAGTTGATTGGGGGCAGCAGAACACGGCGACCGCCGCCTCCACCTCTTCCAGTCATTGTGTGCGGTTGATGATGTTGGGGGGGCGAAAGGGGTTGGAGTGTTGGGTGCGTACGTTGCTCAATGCTGGTCGCGACTGGCGTGTCGTGGAATCAGAAATCTGGCGGAGCTTCCACTGTTCTGCGGTTGCGAAACGGTGCCCGAGAGTAACGCTAGCTACATGGTCCGTGCACCTGCCCCTCCTTTTTCATGGAATTCACTTCTTGCCTTAGCCAGCTCCGTCTGGTCGAGTGGGGCACCGCTGCAATGTTTAGGCAAGCCTGACGTCCCGTTTTCCTTTGAGTTGGAGGGGACTTCCCAACCATCACCAGAAATCTCGACTGCGCCAGGTCATCCCACCTTCCTTTCAAGCCCACGCCCGTCTCCCGACTGCGACCAGTCATTAGTAGACGACAGAGACCCCGCGACACGCCAGCACCTCCTTCCCCGTACGCTTTCCCGAGTTTCGTCTTTCCGACAGTCAGTGGAGGAGATAAGCAGGAGGGAGGGGCACTTCAGTCGTGCGGCAAACGCATTTTGCCTGCGCCCACCTACCGACCTTAGCTGCCATAGCTTGGCGGTATTTACAACCAACACCTTATTATTTTTCCGACATATCACATCCACCGCCATGGCGTCCACTACGCCCCAAGAGGGCTTTGAGGTTCAAACCGTGTTGGCAGCGATGCTAACCATGCGGAGCGGAGAGAATGAGAAGAAGAAGGTCGCCAGTCGACTACTTAGGAAGGTTCCAGAAATCGGTCAGTCCATCACTCGCGACTGGGCTTCGGGGAAAATTATTGACGGCCGCATAGAATGATGCTTGGACTACGACGATATCCATTCTCAAGAACTCGACCGATGCGGAAGCGCAACTCTTCGCCGTCGACGACCCTGAAGGGCAAGGTACATTGGATACTACAAACCCCCACCAACCGTGCAGGCACGAGCTGACCTTTGTCAGATCACATACGACCTTGCGACCCAGATCTCAGAGGCCGACCTACTTGCGCTGCGCGGAGAGATCTTGCTGCTGCTTAAGAAGTATGCGCCGGGCCCCAAACCAGTCCGAGTCCAACTCTGCGTTTGCCTAGCGATTCTGGCCATCCAGATGCAGACATGGAAGGACGTGTTGCCTACCGTTGTCTCGGCGCTCGGGAACGATGTAGCCAGCCACGCCTGCATCCTCGACTTTCTGCGCGTGCTTCCCGAAGAGGTCACGGAGGGCCGAAAAATCACCTTGTCTGTATGTGGAACGATATGTTGCGGCTCGCCTCTACCACCTCGACATCCCATTTGCGCGGATCGGCCTAGGATCACAGTCTAACTCGGTCGTGATAGGAAGAAGACCTCGAGCAGAGGACATCAGAGCTGTTGGCGGACAATGCCGACCAGGTTGTGCAGTTGCTCGTCAACTACGCGCAGTCTTCCCGTGAGTTCATTGTTGGGCGGTTGTATGGTCGAAACTAACGTATCTCTAGCCGCCGCGGCGACAAATCCCCAGCTGTTCGACTGCATCAGCTCGTGGCTTCGGGAGGTGCCTGTCAGCGTGATCGTCAACTCGCCCCTGATGAACGCCGTCCTGCACGGGGTGACGGACGACAAATCCCTATTGGCCGCGGCCGACTGCCTGGGCATCATCTGCAGGGAGACCAAGGATGTCGACGACAACTTGGAAACAATCCAGGCTCTGCTCCCCAAGGTGCTTCAGCTGCGACCCCGCATCCAGGCCCTGGCGGACGATGAGGACTCCGAGGGTTTCAAGGCAATCACCAAGGTGTTTGCGGATGCCGGCGAATCGTGGGTATTGATCATCGCTCGCCAGCCTCAGGCCTTCCGGCCCCTAGTCGAATCCTTGCTCGAATGCTGCGCCCGGGACAAAGAGCGGGATGTTATAGAATACACCTTCTCGTTCTGGTACGAGTTGAAGCAGTACCTAACGTTGGATCACTACATGGAAGCCCGAGTGCAACTCCTCGACGTTTACGCGCAACTTGTCGACATCATGCTCAAGCAGCTCGAGTATCCGCACTCCGATAACCCGAATGAACTAGACTTGTTCGATGGGGACAGGGAACAGGAGGAAAAGTTCCGTGAATTCCGCCACCACATGGGCGACACACTCAAGGATAGCTGCGAAGTGATGGGTGTTGCGGCCTGCCTCACCAAGGTACACGACGCCATCAAAAAAAGTGGCAGGAGAAGTATGGCAGCCAGGCGACACAGACGGCAGTACCCCATTGGCAATCGCTCGAGGCTCCCCTCTTTGCCATGCGGGCGATGGGCCGGATGGTTGAATCAACCGACAGCAGCGTTTTGCCCCAGATCTTCCCACTTCTGGTCCAGATCCCCATCAGCAACGAGAAGCTGCGGTTCGCCGCCATCATGGTTTTTGGCCGTTACACCGAATGGACTGCGGCACATCCCGAGTTCCTCGAGTCCCAGTTCTCGTACATTGTCGCGAGCTTCCAGACCGAGTCGCAGGAGATCCTCCGCGCTGCAGCTCAGGCTTTCATGTACTTCTGTGTTGACTGCAAGCAGCTTCTCAGCCCCCAAGTTATCCAGCTGCAATCATTCTACGACCAAATCCTCGACAAGCTGCCGGTTTCGAGCAAGAAGGAGATCACAGAAGGAGTCGCTTATGTGCTCAGTGTCCAGAAAACCGAGGACTTGTACAAGCTCCTCAAACTCTACTGCGACCCTCTGGTGCAGCGGTTGATGACCAAGGCCAACTCGGCAACCGAAAATAAAGTCGAAGCTTTGACCTTGCCAGGTAGGTTCATGCCAACCCAAAGAATTGCCTTGGAAACTTACTAATTCAATTTTTCCAGATCATGTGAACCTCCTCACCTTCTTTGTCCCAGCATGTTGTGCCCTACATTCCCAGCAACGAGGAGAACCCGGCGGTTCAAGTACTGGACAGGAGGTCCTTCCCCATTCTATCGACCATTTCTCGACAATTTCAGCGACTTTGTCCCCATTTGTGAGCGGGTCTGCCGCTCCTGGCGATTCATGGTCATCTCGTATCGGACGGCTATCAAACCGCTATTACCTTTCCTTGCCAACAAGCTGGCGGCAGGGTTTGCCCAGTCCAAGCAGGGCTGCTTCCTCTGGGCCACGAGCGCTATCCTGCGCGAGTTCTCCGAAGACAGGGAGCACGTGGAAGATGGCATCACCGAGGACATTTACATGTTCTTTGAAGCGCAGGCAACTAGCGTTCTCCGCATCATGAGCGCCCTGCCGGCGGCCGATCTCCCCGACGTCATCGAGGACTTCTACCGCCTTCTTATCGACGCCCTCCTCTACTATCCCGCTAAACTGATCCCTTCACCCTTATTCACCCCCATCTTCCAGGCTGCCATCTCTTCCCTAGCCCTAGAGAAGCACGAACCCGTCTCGGCAGCCCTCCACTACATCAGAGACCTCCTCACCTACGGCGGCACGAATCCCGCGGCGTCCGGCAGTGACCTCGGCCCAGCCGGCCAGCAGCTGCGCCAGCTCGTCAAGCAGCTCCTCCTTACGCAAGGCGAGGCTCTCGTCAAGCAGACGCTCACCGGCATGATGATCACGTTTCCACGCGACTGCTTCGCCGACGGCAGTGGCGTGCTTCTCGGCATGTTCGAGCTACTCCCCAACGAAACGGGTCAGTGGGTTGACCGCACAATACGGATGCTGCCGCAAGGCACCGTTACCTCTGCAGAGGCCGACCGTCTGCTCGCCAAGATCAAGGAGAGGCTGCAGAGCGGCCAGCCGTCCAATGTCCGGCAAATCCGCGTGATACTGCAAGACTTTACTAACACGTACCGCCGGCGCTATGTCGCGCCCCGCGATGGGCTGGGCGAGCTCGAGGCCGCGCGCTTTCACTTTGCGGGCTAGGAGTCCGAGCTATGGGTAAAGCGTCGCGGGTATACATTGGTGTTAAATTGAGGCGAGGCGGGGTGGGTGTGAAGTTGGGTTGCCCCATACACGCAAAATACCTGGGAGCAGGTCACAGCGGTGGGAGAACCGGGGTCGGAGGATTGGGGAGTGAGGTGTGGTGCGGAGAGGGGAGTGAGGGAGCATGGAGGAAGCATGCATTAGACGAGATGGAATGAGACGGATCAATGCCTCGGCCACATGGAACCGGGAACTACGATGCAGTAGTTGATGTAGTTATGTCATGTACGGAGGTAGAATAATAGTCATAGTAGATGGAGCAGCGTGTGATGGTTGGAACTGTATGGGAGGCGGATATCCAAAATCAGAGGGAAAAGGGGTGGCAAGCCGCTGATTTGAGTCATAGGGGGCTAGTTACTGGGGCACAGAAGCCACGTTCGATGGCGTGAGTAGTTGCTTCAGCTCACGATATTGAGGACAATATTGACCAACTACTTACTAAAGATCTCCCAACGGAGGCTTTAGTTTACGCCTCAAGAGATGAAACGTTTATCTGCGCGGTTTGAGTTATGTGTATCATCGATTAACTCGCCTAGCCATAGCATCTAAGTAACAGCCAAGGTGTGAATAACAAGCTCATTATACTCTGTCGGTCCTGAAGTAAAGTTCGACTCTTCTCATCAGATGCTTCTTCCCCCACGCGGCATCCACCTCTAAACATTGATTATGTCTATCGTGCTCATCCATGAGAGCGGCCATATCAGCACATAACAAACTAACTATTATCGCGCGTATGATAAGTAACTCTCGGCCAGGCGCCGGCCGTGCGACCTCTGTCCTCTGTCGATCGAAAAGGGGGAATAATCTGTCGTCCATCTGTCGTCTTTTTATTTCGCTATCGGCGTTCAAGTCGAGCGAGGGGATGTTGGCGGGTCCGAGGGGAGGCTGGCATTGGCCTTGCCAGCGGGCGGCGGCGGGCTGGCGTATACCTCGGGCTTGTTGGAGATCACGGTGGCTCTGGCGTTAGCGAAGCGCGTGAAACACTCGTTGAGGATGTCCTCCACTTTCTGCTGGGCCTCGACGATACCCGTGTCCAAGACCTCCTACGCCACACGTTAGTAATCAGATACCAAGTTCTAAAGAAGGAAGAGCTGCCACCCCGCCACACACACATACCCGCATAAAATCCTCCACCTGAACAAACTGCGCGCGATCCATACGGTACCGGTCCGGCAAACCGCTGTTATGCATCAGACCAATCAAGCCCGCGCTCACGGTGCTGAGCGCGGCGAGCGCGGTGATGGGGGTGGCCTGGCGCATGGGGAGGGAGCCCAGCGCCGTCAGGGCGGCGCCCACCATGACCTGCAGCACCAGCAGCACCCAGTGCACCACGCTGAGCAGCTGGAACCCCAGCGAGTACTTGGCCCGCTGGCCCACCACGTCCCGGTACAGCCCCTCCGGCAGGCCCTTGGGCGGCCAGTACCAGCACGTCGGGTGCACCACCTGGTGCTCCTCGCCCTCGCGGATCGCCCCGATGCCGTGGGCTACGCGCGCCCATTCCGTTGGCGTGAGGAACCGGTACTGTACGGGCCCGCTGCCGCCGCCTGGCTGGGAAGGACCGGTGGGGATTGGCTTCGGCATGGCGGGGGGAGGGGCGTTGCCGGGCGTGGGCTGGGATGGGTTGGGGCCCTCGGAAGGCGGGATTGGGATGCTGGGGTTTCTTTCTGACTTGTTGTAAACGCTTCCGCTCGATTCGAGGAGGTGGTGGCCCGTTATGAAGGAGGGAACCTGCTGGGCTTGGTCATTGCTGGTAGAGGCCATGCTGCAAGTTTGGGTCGAAACGAGTGTAAGTGCAGTTTGCGGTGTTGGTGATGAGTGCAGCGTCGAATATTTTGTGATTTAACGAGTTGGATAGGACTGGCTCTGGGTGGTCATGGGGAAGTTCGAGGACGGGTGGCATCTTAGAAGCAACCGGATTTCCATTCTGACTTCACTTGCAGGTGTTGCCTGGGAAGGAGAGAAGACACGGACCAAAGCGGAAGGAAAGAACAGGAAGAAATGGCCCTGTCATGGAAGTCATGGTAAGTTCGATACGCAGGGAAGGAAGCGAGCACTTTTCACCGTAAGCAAACCAAGGACAACGTCTTCCAAGCCAGCAAGGGATCAGATGAGAGGAATCGTGTCAAGGCAATTTCTTCATCTGCCGAACTGCGTTCTTTTTGTTCCTAACGTTGACAGTTAGTTCATAACCATCCATAGTAGACCCTGGCTTTTTCTCAGGAGCCGCGGCAAAGGTTTGCACCCAAGAAATATTAGGCCCTAGCAAGCGAAGCCACGGTTGTAAATGTACCGGATGAAAGAGAACCATCTTGTTGCGACGGTTGATTAGAAACATACAGCATCCTACAGGGTACATCAAGAGTGTCGTTCCATAATATGACCCAAGTCTGACTCGAAGTTGATTCTCTGATGAAATCGGTGCCGAGCTCGTAGAGATCCTCAACCTGAATGCGCGGTCTTGAGTTTCCGGACAGTGAGCGTTGTTAACCGCTTGTGGTCAATGGCTGCCACTGTCCAGAAACCCAAACGACGTGCCTCGAGCTCATGCAAGAACCACCAGGGTTGAAAACGGGTCTCTTGTCTTGGCTGTCAATGGCATGCCTTCACCGCCCGGCAGAACCCCAAAATAATAATTTGGGATGCGCTCGGTCTCGTCGCAGCTCTGAGCAACTCCAGCGTCAGTCACCCGCCACCCATTGCTCGCATGCGCCCGGGCTCCCCGGCGGCTACCCTTCGGTACATTACCAGGCACACAAGGAAACTGAACCTACCGCGACCCCTCTACGTCCCTATCATATCCATCCGCACAATGTCAGACACAACCCACGACCTCAGCGCGACCCCCGCGGCGGGGCAGCGGATCAAGCACGACAATGTCGTCTACACCACGGTTAAGGAGGGCCTTGCTCACATCCTCGTCCCCGAAAACACGACGAAGGATGGTCAGACGGTGCAACAGGTTTTCTACAACCCAATTCAGCAGTTCAACCGCGACTTGACCATCCTCGCCATGAAGGCCTACGGAAAGGAGCGCATTGCGCTGAAGCAAGCCGCTAGCAAGGCCCGGGCCAACAAGTTTGCCGATAAGAAACGGAAGCGGAGGGAGCAGGTACAAGGCGAACAACCATCAATTGAGACACCAATGGAGCGGCCGACTAAATCCCCAAAGCTGGACGAAAATGCGACCGAGTCCACCGAGGCGCCTGCCGACATCGCAATGGCAGACGCGACGGAAGAGCCTGCGCCAGAGGAGCCCACAGAATCCAAGCAGGAAGCCACTGTCGATGCTGAAGCAGGGGCGCCGGCAACTGGCGGCACTGAGGCCAAAAAAGAGCCCCAAATACCATTCACCATCCTTGACGCCCTATCTGCCAGCGGCCTCCGTGCCCTACGTTACGCCCACGAGATACCGTTTGCCACCACGATCACGGCCAACGACATTCTCAAAGCGGCCGCAGCCGCGATCGGGCGCAACGCCACCCATAACGGCCTCCAGAACAAGATCAACATCTCGGTGGACGATGCCCTGGCCCACATGTATAACGTCGTCGTTAAAGAGCTACGGCGGGTTAGTCTTTCAAAGAACAAGCCCGGGGCGAGCGATAAGTACGACATTATCGACCTCGATCCCTACGGAAGCGCGGCCCCTTTTCTGGACGCTGCCGTTCAGGCTGTCCGTGACGACGGCGGTCTTCTCTGTGTCACTTGCACGGACTCGGGCGTATGGGCGTCCAACGGCTACCCGGAGAAGTGCTACTCCTTGTATGGCGGCATCCCCGTGAAGGGCTGGTATTCGCACGAGGTGGGTATCCGGCTAATTTTGCACGCGATCGAGACCTCGGCCGCGAGATACGGCCTTGCGATGGAGCCACTACTTTCGCTGTCAGTTGACTACTACAGCCGCGTCTTCGTCCGGATCAGGAAATCTCCGTCCATGGTCAAGTTCCAGGGAGGCAAGAATATGGTGGTCTACAGCTGTGGTACCGGCTGCGGCGCTTGGACGACGCAGCTACTCATGAAGAACAAGCCCGCACCGAACAAGAAAGGCGACGGGATGTTTTACAAGCACGGCTTCACCAGGGCGCCAACGACAGGAACCTCGTGTGAACACTGCGGGTCAACGATGCATCTGGCGGGCCCGATGTACGCCGGGCGCATTCACTCACCCGAATTCGTCAAGAAGGTGATCGCAGAGACAGAAGAGGCACCCACCGAGATTTACGGCACCAAGGATAGAATCAGGGGTGTGCTGCAGACGGCCCTCGAGGAATTCCTGCCCTCTCCCGAAGAGATGGAAGCTGAATCTAAAGAGAACGGCGACAGCACGAAAAAGCTAAAAAAGAGCCTGACGGAAGCGCAGGTGGCCGCCATCGATCCGTACCCTTTCTTCTTCCATCCAGCGCACGTGTCCGGTGTTCTGCATTGCGCCAGCCCTCCGGAAAACGCGGTGAGGGGCGCTCTACTCGGTCTTGGATATCGCGCCACGCGGAGCCACTGCAAGCCCGGGAGCATGAAGACGGATGCCCCATGGTCAGTCATTTGGCACGTTTTCAGGGAATGGGTCCGCCAAAAAGCCCCGGTCAAGGAAGCGAACATCAAGCCTGGCAGCGTCGCCTACCGGCTCTTGGGCCTGGGGAAGCCGTCCGCGGAGGACCCAGCGCCCGATGCGGCAGAAAACGGCAACGGAGAGAACCAGGTAACGGACAAGACCGAGGACGCAATGTCGGATGAGAAGCCGGCAGAAGAGGATGCGGTTAAGAAGCTGGAGGTGGTATTTAACGAGCAGCTTGGACAATATCCGGACAGGAAAAAGTACGTCCGGTACCAGATGAATCCGACAGAGTAACTGGGGCCCAATGAACCGAGCCACAGGGAAATGAAGCTCGAAAAGTGTGTATAATTCGCACTACACTAACGGCGCCGGCGACTGACGGAGGATGACGGGTTGGGCGTTATCTGGACATGCATATTGTACAAGACCGACGCCGAGAGCAGCCCTGGGGCCTGTGATGCACGAAACCCCGCTGTTCCTTTCCAGTTGCTCCGCTCCTGCTGACGCCGGCCCACTGCACCCACGCTAGAATCACGGGCGGTGATGGCGCGATTCGTCCATCTCGGACTTAAGTCGACGAGCTGCGCCGCTGTGGAGGCCGCGATAACTGGCCCTCGGCTGGGTTGCTAGAAGATTAGAAATCCATATAACCAAGTTATATATTAACTCCGCCTGCCTCTCTCGTTTCGTTGTCCTGGTGTTTAACTTTTCTTTTTTTCTGTTGCTTCCTACCCCGCACGCCCGAGCCTTGAGTGCCTGGCACCACAAACCCTTCCCAATGACAACCCAACATGTCAACTCCGCTGCTGGCGAAAGCCTGGAGGATGCCATAACCAAGATCAAGCGGGAAGAAGTTGTCTTTGTCGTGCCGAAGGACAGCGGCAGTGGGTACCGGATATATTCACTCGTCGAGGGCTCAACTTCAGACGGAGAGAAGCCCCTCAACTTGGAAGTTGTGCAATGTGAACAACACCAACTACCCGAGGATCTATCAGGGTTTCTCCTTGGCCAGGGTCGCCTCCCGCCAGCTCACCTGGGCCCCCCGCGTGAGGTGCATGTCGTGGTATCAACACACTCGGGACTTAAACTGGCGGAGGACTTTTACCAGGGCGTACTCCGCTCGTTGTTAGGAGCTGTCGGTCTCGAGTCGAGTGAGATCAAGGGTCAAGGAGGGTACCAAGTGACGGTGACGGAGAGCTCAGACACCATCCGGGACTTTGCGCAAGGACTAGGGAGAGACGGCTACGCGACAGAGAGGACCGTCATCCTACTGTCCGGCGACGGAGGCGTGACTGATTTCCTCAACGGCCAGGACCGAGGCCCCCCACCGCCGGACAACGCCCTCCTCCCCACGATCGCGCTGCTCCCCCTAGGCACAGGCAATGCCCTCTTCCACTCGCTGCACAAACCACTCTACACCACCACTACCACCACCAACCCGACCCCCTCCCCCCTCGTCCTCGGCCTACGCACCCTCTTCAACGGCACGCCCTCCGCCCTCCCCACCTTCCGCGCCTCCTTCTCCCCCGGCGCGAAACTGATCTCTGCACCAACCGAGACCGACGACACCACCACCACCACCACCCCCCAATACCACCACGCCCCCAACAGCCCCGGCAACCCTCCCCATAGCAGACGCCCCCACCAACCGCAAAACCCCCGTCTCGCACCTGATCGGCGCCGTGGTCGCCTCGTACGGCTTCCACGCCAGTTTGGTGTGGGAGAGCGACACGCCGGCGTACCGCGTGCATGGCGCGAAGCGGTTTGCGATGGCGGCGGGGGAGTTGCTGAAGTTGGGGCATGTTTATGACGTTGTGGTGGGGGTGCGGAGGGGTGGTGATGGTGGTGGTGGTGGGAGTGAGGGTGAGAGTGGTGAGGGGGTTGAGGGTGAAGGGGGTGAGGGTGGCAACGGGTTCAACTACATCCTTGCGACGCTGGTGTCCAACCTCGAAAAGACGTTTGCCATCTCCCCCAAGAGCCGGCCCCTCGACGGGCGGCTGCGGCTGGTGCACTTCGGGGATGTCGGCGGGGCCAAGACGATGGAGATCATGATGGCGGCGTACCGTGAGGGCGAGCACGTGGGCATGCCCGAGGTGGGGTACGAGGATGTGGACGAGGTCAAGGTGACGGTTGCCGAGGAGGATCCGAGGTGGCGGAAGGTCTGCGTTGACGGGAGTATTGTCGAGTTGGAAAGGGGTGGGTGGGTGAGGGTCGGAAGGGAGGAGAGGGAGAGGGTCAAGATTTTGGTCGATGCGGGCGTTGCGAGGTGATGGGATGATATACAATTTCTACATAGAGCACCGTGGGTATATAAACGGCTGCCCCCCAAACCTTACTCGCCCATCAGCTTCTTCGCCCTCCTCTCCATCCCCTCCTCGAACTGATCCACCCCCCTCTCCAGCACCGGCAACTTCCCCCCCCGCCAGCTTATACACCACCTTCCTCCTTAACCGTCCCCCCTCTCTCTCTCCGCCTCACTCCCCTCCTCTCATCCACCAACCCCTGCACACGCCCCTCATAAATCACCTGTCATGAGAAACCAAAATCACCGCCCCCGCCCACCCCCTCAACGCCTCCCTCAACGCAGCCACCGTCTCATAATCCAAATGCGTCGTCACCTCATCCAGTACCAACAACCCCGGTCCGCGCCACAACAACCTCGCCAACTCACACCGCACCAACTGCCCACCGGACAACTTCCGCAGCGGCACATCGGACGCGACGCGGCCCTGCAAGCCCAACGACCCCAGCAACGCCCGCAGCTGGCCCTCATCCAACAGGCCCTCCACCTCGCGCGTCAGCAGCGCGAGCGCCGTCAGCCCGGCCTCCTCCCGCCCCAGCGCCTGCAGCTCCTCGACGGCGTGCTGCGAGTAGTACGACAGCTTGAGGCGCGGGTGGGTGGTGACGGTGCCGGTGTGGGACGACCCCGGCGGCGGGGCGCCGGCCAGGTTCGCGCCGACGAGGAGCCGGATCAGCGTGGACTTGCCCGCACCGTTGAGGCCCAGGATGCCGATGCGGTCGCCTTCGCTGACGGTGAGGGTCGCGTCTTGGAGGGTGGCGGGCGGGTTGGTGCTTGCGCCCCCGCCCCCGCCCCCGCCCTTCTTGGGGAGTGCGTAGCGGAAGGAGACTTTTTCGAGGGACACCAGCGTGCCCGGGAAGCGTAGGTCGCTGGGGTCGGGGAGGGTGATGGTTACGGGCCGCTCGTCTTGGGGGATGGCGATCTCGTCGCGCGCGGCGTAGTGGTAGCCTGCGAGGTCGCGGTTGAGCTTGAAGCGGCCGCCCTTTTCGTTGACTTGCATGCCCATGCGGTCGTCGAGGCGTTTTTGGCGGGACTTGGCCTGGCGCATTTTGTTTTGGTCGTCGTTCCTTGCGGCCCTGCGCCATATTCTGCCCGGATCGACTCCTGCATGTGCGCTTTTTGCTTTTCTTGCGCCTCTTTCATCTTGGTGAGGTACAGCTTCTTCTCGGCCCGGGCGGCCTCGTAGGTCGGTAGGTCGCCGTGGAAGTAGGTGAGGTCCTTGTCCTTGACGATGAGCAGGTCGGTGCAGACGGAACTGGTGAAGTCGCGGTCGTGAGACACGAGGATGAGGGTCGGTGGGGCCGGCAGGTCTTCAAGACTCTGCAGGAAGCGCTGCAGCCAGATGATGCCCAGCAGGTCGAGGAAGTTGGTTGGTTCGTCAAGGATGAGAATGTCCGTCTCCTGGAGGAGCGCTGTCGCGAGGGCGCTGCGCATGCGCCAGCCGCCCGAGAGGCTGTCCGCTTTCTTGGCCATGTAGGCGTCAGTGAAGCCGAGACCGGTCAGGATCTTTTTGGCGCGCGACTCAATGTCGGCCATGAGAGACGGCTCGACCTGCAGCTGGAGATCAGCGAGCATATCCACGGCCTCCTGAGTCTCGACCTGGAGTGTCTCGGGTGAGATGTCGTCCGTGGACTGCTCGTTTCTATCCGGGGATGGTCAGAGATCATGGAAGTAATCAGGGGTTCAGGGGCATCTTACAGAGCAGCAGACTCAGCAACCGCTTTCTCGTACTCGACCAGTGCCTTGCGTGCTTGCATTCCACGTGCGCCGCTCCTCAGCCTTGCGTCCTTGTCGAGGACAAAAAGCCGCTTCAGCATGCGCGCATGGCGGAGTTTCCGCAGCGACCGAAGCGCACCGTAAGCGTCCGTATCGTTGACACCAGCGGAGAGTGCTAGTCGATGTCAGGCCTGTTCGTTGACCCGCTCCATCACAACACTCACTGTTGATCTCCTGCTCCAGGTCGCTTTTGGCCGTGGCCTTATCAACCACATCCTCCAGGACGGTAAGGCCGTCCCTGCTGCCCGGGACTTCTCCAGAAGGGAGGTCATCCGTATTGACATCGCTGATGTTCGTCTGCTGTAAGATAGACACTCTGGTCTGCTCCGGGATGCCCGGGATGAGCTTGTCGGCGATGGCCCGCAGAAGGGCTGTGAAAAGGGGTTCCGGTCAGCCATCAGAAAAGCGCGGTCGTCTGCTGTCCCAAGCTCACTAGATTTCCCCGACCCATTCCTTCCGACCAATGCATACCGGCTCCCAGCCTTCAAGCGTAGCTTGGCATTACTGAGGATCTCGGTGCCCTCGCCCGAGGCCTTTCCCTTGCCTTTGCCCTTCACCTTCTCTCCACTGCCGGATGTGACGGTGATGTTGAGGCCTTCAATATCGAGCTGCTGCCTGTTAACGCTTGATTCAATGATGGAAAGGGCTTCAGTATCGACTGCTATGTATTAAATTACCTCACGGTAGTTTGGGCTCTCGATGTGGAAGCGTGTCTGCTTGCACGACACCAAAATGGTCGAAACAGACTCGGCCGCGATGGATGTCATTGTGAGTGTTCGGGGAGGCAACGTTCAATTGATGGTCAAGGAACAAGTGTGGTGCTCAGATTTGGGTATGTCAAGGTACGAAAACGAAGCACTGGATGCAACTCCTTTCGAAACCTTACAATGAAGGAATCGGCCTCAGGTTACCTTATATATTCAAGGAACTTGGAGTTTCTCCAACTGTAACAATTAAGTAACCTCCTTTTCTTAGCCCCAAAATTTTGTCCTGCCCAACCTGTCAACGTCGCCCCGGCTCTTGACACAATTCGGCAGAGATCAGCTGCGGGCCGTCCTTGCATGACCCGATCCGGCCACTGCATTTCGGCCGTGAGTCACGCCGGCCCGGTGTGCTTTCCCTTTTGGTACCCGGTCCAGGCCGGGAAACAACGGTCCTCGAACACGATTATCCGGTCTTCGTTGCCAGTTTCGAATTCCCAGGGTTCCGCAATCGGGAGGCAAACCGGAAGCTGAGTCGCCCGGCCTTGCCGGTGTCAGCTTCGGGACAAAAAACAACAGCGCACAGTCAGTCGGTGTTGACATCCTAAACTACCTTAGGTACCTAAAAAATATTCCATGATTTTTTTATTATGCATGCACATGTAAGACTAGCACATAAAACAGTATACTTACTATGTCCGTCCCATGGAACCAAACCCAAACCCCAACCTCAACTTACGCCGTCCCATCCCCACCCTGCTTTTCGCTCCCATCCCGCGACTCCCCCCTCACCCTCCCCATCCTCGCCGCAAACGTCGTCGTGGGCCTCCAAGCCGCCGAATTCCTCGGCGTGCTCTGCGCCATCATGGAATCAATCTGCTCCAGCGTCAGGCCCTTCATTTCCGGCACCAGGAAATACGCAAACGCCAACGACAGCACACACAACGACCCCCAAATAAAAAACACGCGCGGACCCAGATCCGCCGACCCGGGCTCATTCCCCACCATATACGGGGTAATCACCGCAATGATACAATTCCAGAACCAATTCGCCGCGGTGGACAGGCCGACCCCGCGCGAGCGGATCGGCAGCGGGAAGCACTCGCCGACGATGACCCAGCCGACGGGGCCCCAGGTGGCGGCGAAGAAGAAGATGTAGATGCAGATGAAGGCGATCATGGCGCGCACCGCCGCCTCGTTGGTGTGGCCCTGGTCCGCGTCCGGCCGCCCCGCCGTCACCCCGACCACCGCCACGATCAGCTGCGACACGATCATGCCCACCGCGCCCCAGTTGAGGAGCGGCCGCCGCCCCATGTGCTCGATGGCCCAGAAGGAGATGGGCGTGGAGATGACGTTGACGAGCGTGGTGACCAGTGAGATGAAGAAGGGGTTGCGGATGGTGCCGAGTTGTTGGAAGAAGGTGGTGCCGAAGTAGAAGATGAAGTTGACGCCTTTTGGGTTGCGTGGTGTTAGCTTGGGTGGCTGGCTTTGTTTGGTTGGAAGGGGGAGCGTGTATGTACTAACCCGGTGAGTTGTTGCATCATTTGGGATGCCGGTCCCCAGATGGTGCCGCCGGAGGTTGCCGTTGCCTTTGGACAAGGACCCCCTGGGAAGCAGGCCATCCACGATCCGATGTAGCTCGTCTGCGGGATGACCTGCATTTCGTACTCGTGGTTGGCGACAATCTCGGCGAGCTCGTCCTTGATGTAGTCCGAGTCGAGCGGCTGGCCGCGCACCAGCGAGAGGTCCCTTGCCGCCGCGTTGATCTTGCCCTTCATGACGTGGAAGCGAGGCGATTCGGCTAGTTTGTGTTAGTCGGCGTCGACGGCACACATATAATCTCAGTGATGCTCACGAAGGATAAACAGCCCGACTCCCCAAAATGAGCGCCCACAGAAACTGAATCCCAACCGGGATGCGATAGGAGCCCGTGTCGTTGCGGTTCGCAGTCGCATAGACGACGCAGTTCGCCGAGCAGGATCCCCAACGTGATGCAGAACTGATACCCCGAGACCAGCGCACCTCGAAACCGTTTCGGTGCCACCTCGGCCATGTACAAGAGGATGGTGGCAGAGATGAAACCCACGCCCAGCCCCGAGACCAGGCGGCCCATGACGAAGAGCACCACCTGGTTCGTCGATGCCATCTCCAGGATACAGCCCACACTGAACACGCCGCAGCCGATGATGATGGTGGGCCGGCGGCCGATAAAGTCGGCAACGTCGCCGGCGATGAGGGCGCCGAAAAAAGTACCGCAGGACAGGATTGACGTCATGAGCGACTTGGTCGACGACGGCAGGGCGAACTCGGTCGGGTTGACGCCGATCGGCTGTCTGTTCTTGTAGTCATACTGCAGTCCGGTGTATTGGGTGATGAAGAAGGGCATGCCGAGCACGCCCGACATCCAGCCCGTGTCATATCCAAAGACTGACCGAGGTTGTTAGCACAGTAGGATCCGGAGGTAAGCCACAGGGTGAGTAGACTCGGCTCACATATTCCGCCATAGGCGGCAAAAGCGCAGAGCAGGTAGGCCTTAAACGTCACTGGCGCTTCGACCCTCGACAGATCGGCCGTGCCCGTCAAGGAGGGATATATCACGACGCCGACCATGTTACTTGAGTTTCATGCTCGATGGGTGTTGGTGATTAAAGATCGAAGGAGTCGCAAGGGACCCGGCACGGCAGGGGGGGGGGGGGGTAATAAAACAAGCTTTGAAGAATACCAATAACGGCCGCCTATTCACACCTGGAACCCGGCCTTCCCATCCCTGAATGTCAAACAGGCACGCTTTGCTGGTCTAGAACTTGCCTGGGTGGGGACATTGTCGCCTTCCTCCCGCCCAGATGCTGGGCAGGAAGGATAGGGATAAAGGAGGTGAGAACGGCGACAAGGACAATGGATGGCTGGAAAAGCGGAAATCTTCAGCCATGTGTGCACAGTCAGAACAAAGCCGCCATCGCGCAGGCAGAGGTGGAAGAGGCGCTGCCGGCGCCTTGGCGCATTTGCTTTTGGGGCCTTGGGGCCTTGGGTTCAACAAGTTCCATGGTTCTGGGAGTCGTTGACCGAAGCTCCAAAAAAAGAACCCTTACCTTGCAGCTGGCCGGCGCGTAGGAGCCCATGTGTGTCTTGACTTGATACAACGTACAACGACAAGAAAACGCATCAGGTTTCTATCATCGTCCCAGGCCGTCCCCAGCGACGAGTTCCTACTGTCCGAAGTGATTCGTACGACAAGGAAGTCCAATGGCGAGACCCCAGCAGATGGGATGGCATATTCTCTTCGGAAGAAGCGGGGTCTAGGGGCTTGGGGTCTCGGGTTTCGTTACGAAGTACCAAGCTTCACTCAGCCCCCAGAGGAATTAAGCCCAAGCGCGCACGCCAATGCAGCCGAGTTCTCGCGAACAAACGCCACCCATCCTCTAGCGCGGTGTTTGCTTCCCAAAAGCGTCCTGGGTTGCACATGACGCGGCGAGAGACCGTTTGTTTTTAGAACGAGAGTGTAGCAGGACTTGCGCCGTCTGCTGGCGTCCATTCCAGGTGCGATAGATGCAATCAGGGAGCAGGCTGCTGACATTGATGAATCTGACGGTTGCACAAATGTCATGTCGAGGTGAAGGGGTGAAGTGCTTTTTTAGTTAATCTCCTCAGGGTTGACTTGACTGCCGAGGCTCCACACAGGTGGTACGTACCGGCAATCACCAGAAACTGAAGGCCTCGACCCGACCATCTCCATGTTTTTTCAAAAAAATTAGCAAATCATCGACCCTACCCGAGACAACCTAAGATCGTAGCTGACGAACAAGGCAAGCAAACACTGAGTGACGCAGGGAGACGACCGGCAACCTGATGCCGAGATCTTGTGGACCCACCCACGCCGATGGCGGTCGGGAGAAGAGTCATCTGCAACAAAAGAAAAGTAGTTCAAAAGTCGAGGGACCCCCATGCTGCCGTTCTTTCTTTCTGAGACTTCGCCTTCACGCTCCTCGCCTTCACGAGATCCTTTGTCAGCGGAGTCTCCACGTGTGCGGGCCGTCATCGAGGCCTCAAAGAAGTGCCGGCATCCAATACGACTGTAGCATCCGGCCCGGTCCCGAGGACGGCGCTCCATCTCCGATAGCCCCCAGGAAACCTGCTCATGTCGAAGGATCGCCTCGTTGAGAGCAAAAACAAGGCAAAGCCAACATATTAACGAAGATCCGGGAACGGACAAAAATGATTGGGTCGAGGGCAAAAGGAAAGCTGTAATGATTTCATCCAGGCTCGAACTGGAGACCTTCAGTGTGTTAGACTGACGTGATAACCAACTACACCATGAAACCATCTGATGTTGTTATAAGAGATACTGCTAGCTTAGCCCATGTCTGCCACGCACACCTCGCCCACCTCGCGAGAGCAACAACACACACAAACAGGAGTGACCGTGCCCGCTGCGCGCGGCCACGCCAAAGAGCTTGCAGGAACTTTTCTGCTGCAGGTAGGCCCCATAGCGGAGTCAACGATGTATGTTAAGCCGTACGAAGAAGGCATCTGACTGCATGATTATAACAGTATCAGGAGATGATGTAGTTTAGGTCAGAAAATCGGGATGGAAAGAACGTATGAGTCCTTGGATTGGGAAAATGGAGCACCGCGGTGTAAAAAAGGTGGCCTCTAGCACCGGCTTGACCTCATCGCCGATGTATGACGCCGCATTCTTGAGTCTCCAGTAAGCTATATCGTCATCTAGGGGCTTCAGTAATCAGATCCCGTAAAGATTAACCTCTGTGGCGTAATCTCACAGAGCTGATAGGTTCCGTGTATTTTTGTGCGTCAAAGAAGTGCAATTTGCTTCGCTACCCTTCGTCACGTAGACGACCATCGAGCCGTAGGCCTTGCTTGGTATCCTTCCTGCTGAGCCAGGCAATCTTGGCAATGTTGACGTTGTTCTCTGTAGTCGTGGTTCCAGGAATGGGACGTCATGGCCGAATCAGCGCAGATTGAAGCTGCTGACGAAGAAGCGGGTGCGTCGCTCTAGTAGTACAGTTAACCCATAATAGATGTTGACCCTGAACACCTCATTTTCGCCACTTTTTGACAGAAATCCGAATTTTTTTGTTCGTGGTTCGTGATTGTCAAGGAATGCGCGACGGATGCATGCAAAAGCATGAGCGAAGCAGCGAGTCACAGGGGCCCTGATGCCAAGTGCGGGTTAGCGGCTTTTCTCCGGCGATCCGATTGGCCAGGTGTCAAGCATCAAATGGTTCGTGCACCACCACCGCCAAGACCGAGGAAGAGAGGGGGATTTGAGGAAGCAGAAAGCAAAAAATGCCAGAGTTCAAGATGCTATCGAGAGAAGTCGAAAAGGAGAAAAAAGCCAAAATTCTACAGTGAGAAGTCGACAGTACAGGTTAGAAATGACACCGGTTTTTTGGGGTTTTTTTATAGAGAAAAAACTGGTCCGTGCTTAGAGCAGGCCATGGCATTTTTGTCATAGGGACTAAGGAAATAAGGAAAAGGAATAAGGACTAAGGAATAGGGAATAAGGAACCTGGAGTTCCTCCAGGCATAAATAAACAGAATAAATACCTAACTGGGTTGAGGGACCACCTCTCACCTTCTCGCCTTGCCACTCTTGTATCTCTCACGAGTTATCCATAGCTTTCTACGCCTCATGGAGCGGCCCTTGAATCAACCCCATGTCGACAACGCGGAAGGCAGCTCTATCTCAATAGACCTCTCGGTCATTTCTCCCTTGCCTCTCTCTACCTCAACCAAGTTGTGATCCAGGGCGTGGAACCCAGATAAAAGAGGGGACCGGGTTCTAGTGTGCTAGGTTGATGTTGGGGTTGTGAGTAACCGAAGCCCGGATGTGCCCATTTGCAGTGTTGGTGCCATTCGGCCCGTTCCACGTGGAACAGACAAACAAGTCACCTACTAGAATTAGAGAGAGGCCATGTCTGGATATAAATTCTTGGTGTTAACAACCATGTGTGCTGCCACCTTTTAGAGGACATGCTTCCAAAAGCGGAAAGTTCGTGTGATCCAGAGTTCCGTCCGGCATACAGGCACGGCCCGGACCAGTGACACTGGCACACTAGGTATCTATACGGATATACCTCGTAAAACAGCAGTCTTGCCAGGCAGGAACTAGAAGAACTGGTACGTAGTTAAACGAACACCGCCGAGCGCCGTTATATCCCGCCCATCGCACGACCGCTTCCCGGATTGTCGCCGGAAGCGTCAACTCCCGTTGTTTGTGGTTAAGAAAACAGGCTTACAGAATCAGTCGTGGCTGTTACAGTGGGGCGTGTTGGCTCGGAGGTTGACTGTCTTGTCTTGTTCCTGGGGATGCCGCTGAAACGGGAGTGAAAAAAGGGAGGACGAGGAGGCGACCGGGAGAGTTCGCTGAGTACTAGGTATGGTGAGGCGAATGGAAAGGTAGGCGTGGTTAAAAACATTGCATAGAACAAGGCGTCACGTTCATGATAGACAATATATGTAGATTGGAGCAAAGAACTTGGTGCTAACCAGGCGATTAAGAAACCAACACCATCTAATGCCTGTAAGGTCGGTGTTGCGGCTACTTCGGAATCTCCTCGTCCTCCTTGCTCATGTTCATATTCAACAGCTCGACCTTCTCGGCGTATCCCTCGAGTCCGCGCCATTCAAGTGATCCCAAGTTGACTTGCAGAATTAGAACAAGGCCGACCCTCTTTTCTAAATCTGCGTGGCGGACACGGAAGGCCAGGTCGTTAAGCGCCCAGGGAAGACCATTTCTCGCTGAGCTCTGGAACCGGGGAATGACGAGAGGATGGTTGCCAGATTGCCGCTGCTCACAGATGTTGTGAGTTCATTGCTGCCCGTAAGCCGAGTGTGCATGGAGAACAGTCGCTGCTGCGGCAGTTATAAACAGACTACTTCATCCCGGTCTACCCAACTCCCAGGAGGGTAGGACACTGGTAACTTGGGACTATAAAACATTACAATTAGGTGAGTCGGGAAACACGCCCCGACAAGCTCACACTCGAAATCAAAACAGAACACGCAAAGACTGTGCAAAACTGGCATATTATTGTCTCCGGCGCAAATAGGAACAAGAAGTCAAGTTTCCGTACAGGCCGCACCAAAAGCAAAAAGCACGAAAGCCCGAGGACGTGCCCCGGCAGAGTATCAAGTAGAAGGATAAGCAAACCCATCATGTGCCACGCGCGCCAACAACATACAATTCAACCCCATCCGCCGCCCCCATCCAAAGGCCTAGCCTGGATAAACAAACCCCAGCATTCCCGGCTGCATACAAAAAAAGGCACTGTCCGGAAACACACAACATCCCAACTCTGCACAGATTAAAGGGAGGGGGTAAATTAGGTAGCGCCGCTGTCTCTTGTCTCTTGTCGTGTCTCATAATCTCGTAAAGCAGTTTCCCCGGTGCCCCCTAGTACCTTGGGGCCGAGGATGGTGCTGTTATGAGCTTTAGAGAAGGGCGGCAAAACCGGCCGCCAGCAGGACGAGGGCGGTCGCGGGGCCGACGATGTTGCCGGCGCCCTCCTCGACCCTTGCTCTCGGTTGGCTGGGCGGGCTTGACAGTGGAGACCGAGGTCGAGTTGCTCTGGATGGAGCTCGAGCTGGGCAGGAGCACGGCGCTCGTGGGTGAGTCGACGGCGACCGAGGTGGTGTTGCGCACGACGGTGCTTGAGGAGGAAGTGGTGGTTGTCGTGGTGATGGGCGCCTTGGTGGTGCTCGTGCTAGTGCTCGTGCTGGTGGTCGAGGTGGAGGTGGCGGGAGGAGGGGTCTGAGAAACCAGCCCGCCGGTCACGCTGTACGCGGGCGGGCGCAGGCGGCCAGATCCATGCCCTCCTGGGCAGCACCACGTCTCGCCCTTGGTGTCGGCGGTGCAGTAGTAGCCTTCCTCGCAAGGAGTCTAGAAAAATGGTCAGCAAGAGAACAACCGCGGTACGATCGACATCACGTACTGCCAGACTGGTCGGGGCAGCAAAGCTCTCCGACAGTGGGGTTGAAGCAGTGGACCTGGCTGTCGGTCGAGCTGCAGGTCTGGTAGCCGGCACCGCACGCCTCCTCGCAAGTGTTGCCGTCGTTGCACATGGCCTCCTCCGGCTGGTACCCCGGCTGCTCCTCGCGACGGGCAATACCGAACAGGGCGCGGGTCGAGGTCTTCATCATTGTCGGCCTGTAGGGCATCGGCTCGGCGGCGACATTGGCGGCAAAAGCGAGAGCCGCGAAAGCGGCAACAGACTTGACGAGCATTGTGGCGGTAGTCGGAGGGAGGCGGTCAATTGAATTACGCGCGAGTTTAGATCGGGATTTTCGAGGCGGGAGAGTTGAGTAGTTAATTGACGCGATTTCAAGACCGTAGGATATATATCGTAGGTGCGGAGAAACGAATGGATCGAGCGCGAGACTCTGTAATGAACGACGATGTTTGCTTTGTGAAAAGACGGTGGAACGGTGGACAAGCGCGGGCGACGAGGGAAATGAAGGTATAAAAACAGGCACCCAGGGGCGGGCGGGTCCCCTTTGGCTGTTTTATGGGGCGGCTCCGGGAAGTCCCCAGCCAGCCAGAAGTTGTGCCTGGATTCATGCTAGGGTGCATCAGATGCCAAGCAGCCACTCATCACCTCTCCTTAATTTTAGCTCCGGCGCATGCTCCTTGCATGCCACCCTCTGCTCGTTCCTGCGTCGCCTGGCAATCCAGGAACGCCAATGACAACTTTGTTTTGCACAAAACGGTTTTGATTTCCCTTGCTACGCACTCCAATCGCATCGTCCAACCCAGAACCTTTCCCACACTCTACACCCCACAAAGTTACAAAATCTACGCGATGCGCGCTCTCGTTTTGAACCCAAGGATTGAAAAAGCCAAGCCAGCCACCGCTCTTGGGTCGTCTCGCCAAACCAAAGTCAGCCATCCATCCTCGGTCTGCTTGCCGTCTGAGGTGACGCCCGGCAGATTTTGGCAGCTGCTGCCCTCTGTCGGGCAAGGATCTACGAAATGAGCCAAGCGACCGGAGCCAGCAACAAACAGCGATCCTACCCAAGATGAACGAAAATCAAAAGTCTGGCCATCTTCAATCCCTGGCGTCAAGAACTGAACAAAAGGCAGCTCTGGGCGACCAAACAATCCTGACCAGCAAGCGCTCGTCTGGAGTTGAATCAGCCTAACTATCCAACACACCTGAACCTGTCGTTTCCGACATAACCTTAGTGTGGCGCTTTAAATGACTGGTTCAGAGGGCTGCGCTTCAGCAAGCGGTAGAGGTGTTTCAGTCGATCAGGGCCCGTGCTTTGCCCCGTTTTCGAGACCCGCTCCCGCGCCGGTTCTCAACAGCTGCCGGTCCCGCTGCAGACCCGGCGCGGGGATCTGCAGATCCCGGACATCTCACCCCGGAGGCTGATTTTAGGCTTGAACTTGTTTCCGCGCGGCAGCCATCCTTCACGAAACAAAGATCGAAGACTTATCTCTCAGTTGTGGGAACAGATTCCTCAATGGCCAAGCGAGGTGTAAGGAAGCTTACGGTCCGGGATATTGCTTACTTCCCGGCTCTTGTTTTCTTATTGAAATTAGTGGGGTGCGAAAGGGGGCGGGCTTTCTAACCTACTTGACTGTGGTAGTCGTTGTCAAATCTCACGCGACAGGCTCTTCGATGGCACATCCGACACCTCTCGCCCGACCACCTGTTATGCCACGGCAAGTACGGTAACCGACGGCTAGCTACCTTCGTAGAGTCCCCTATTCTCGTATTATGACCTAATCCGGCATCTCAGCATGTACACCGCCGAGTGCCATAGTTGACCTGATTATCATGCGTTTTTGTACTCCCTCGGTCCCTAGGTTGTTTTCTCAGGCCGTGATCGGCCGCCTGACGGACGCTAGGCAGACGGTACTTAGCGGAGCAAAGCCGGTATCAGGAAGCCGCTTGTTATTCGCTTGTGCGGGCGAAGCCGTTGATACACGATTTACGCCGATGAGCGGTTCAATATGGAAGACGGTTCGGAAATGAAGCCATTTGCATCATGATCCATTGATCGACGGCTTCTCAAGAAGACGTTTCTAATGGCTGAAGCTGCTGATAAAAGTGAATTATTAATGTCTGGCTTGACTAACTCAAGTCGTTCAACGACAGTTGTTTTAACTTAGCAATTCATCATATGAACCACCAGTTTTTCCAGCGGCTTACACTAAACAAGCTAGTATGTAATAGCTCATGTGCTACTTATTTGCTGAAGCTGCTTAAATTTGTGAGCCGGTTTTACCAGCGAGCCGTTCCTGGGCCACGAGCCTTTCCTGAGGCGCGAGCCGTTCCTGAGGCAGCCACCCACCAAATTGACTTAGCGAATTTGACGCGTCGGTACCACGCCATCCTTTCTCCCCGCTGTGCCGCCCGCCCGTCCCGTCTCTGCCGCTGCCCGTGGTGCCCGTCTCTGTAAGTCAGCCCCCTACTTTCAAGGTTGTGGTGAAAGCCATTACCCCTGGTTTCCAAATGCCCTCGGTTCCATTCGCTGCAGTTCACCACGACTTGTGACATCCAATGCGCGAAGATGCCCGGGCATTCACGAGTCATTATGGCGCAACCAATTGCGATGGGACAGTGTCTGGTACTTGCCCTTATTACCTGTTACCCCCGACGAAGTTTGAGCTAAGTACATAGGTAGTTGACATATGCTGACGGGACTTTCGGACAGTATCTCTACCAATCCCGACTGCGTCGTGCCACCCCTCCAGGCCTACTTCAAGCCATGTATGCCCGTTCCATGCATCGTGCCACAACGGCTCAAAGCTGATAAGATGTTAGCCCGTACACTAACAGGCCTTCTCCACGCAAGAGGCCGGTATGTCCAGTTCTTTTGCTGGTCCCTGTATTTGCTTAAGGCTAATGGAACCCGTTAGCACTGACAACACAAGCCTTACTTCACGCCAGGCAATACCTTGTACGTAGAAGAAGGGTAGAAGGCTGGCTTCAAGTTCTGTATATGACTGATTCGACTAACCGAGATCACTGCGTAGTCCTCTATTACTATACTCTCGCCCCCGGCGACCCCTCCTTTGTTAGTATACGATCATGGCGTTGGAGCTTGTGGGAGGATATGTAACTAACCTGGTATAGCATCATGTCTAATCTATGGGGGACCGAACTTGACGATAACCTCGTCGATCCCCTCCTGCGAGGCGTATGGCACATTGGACACTTGTGTTTTGCTGGCCAGTACGGGCTAACAGAGTGTTATGGAAGCCGGGCGCGGACGCCAACCCCAACCCCCCCCAGCAGAGCACCAGTACCAGCACGGGTACCAGTACCAGTACCAGCACCAGTACCAGTACCAGCACCAGTACCAGCGCCAACGCCAACGCCAACGCCAACGCCACCAATCCTGTAAGGCTTCAAGTCTCGTCCTTCCTTTCCAAGTTGTGAATGAACCTAGCTGACAGTTGGACTACAAGCTACATGCAAAGAGTTCCTTGGTATAGTACACTGGCTGCTGTCCTCTGCCATTTGACTGACATCTGTTGTGGCAGACCGAGAGAGAGAAGACCCTTTGGGGCAAAACCTCGATGGACGTTCGCCGCGTTACCAAACGCCGCCGTAGACCCGAGCCCGAGCCAGAACAACCGGGTTCGAATGATGACGCAGTGGCGGCCGAGATGGCTAAGGACGACGCCAACGAGCGTAAGCTCACAGACGTGAGTTTGCGGCAAGTTTTCTTGTTCCACCAGCGCAAGCCGGAGAAGGACGAGGAGGTAATATACCCCTGTCTAGTTATTTGGTTGTTAGTTTCTAATTAATATGGCAATAGAACATTAAGAGTATTCACGGCGACGATGTGGACCCTTTCGGCTTGGAGTGGCCAGGAGGCCCGTACGCGGTTCATGAACGACCAGAAAAACTGCAAGTTCCGCGTGCTCGAGCATATGGAGGCATGGATCTGTTGGCAATTGTATGGTGGCTAGCACTAATATATGACAGAAACTACTTACAACCCATGCCGAGCACCCTGAGTATACAAACATACTCAATGTGGAGCTGCCAGTCCCTCGGGACTACCTTAAGCGGATGACGGATGCGGCCTGGGCGGAGGAGAGCTTCTTTAAAGTGTGGACATATATGGAGGGGCGGCTGGACTTCAAGCGGTCTTCTAAACTGGGACAGTACTATATACGCAGTAAGTATCATTCGCATGCGGGTTAGGTTGTGCTAATGCGAGAGGGAAGCGATGTTCAAAGGCCTGGCCCTAGAGGTAGCAGAGTGGTATGTACTGTATACGCAGGATTGGTGAACTGGCTTTGGGGACTGACTATTGGTGTTGGCGGGTAGGATGCGGGTCAAGAAGCAGGACGCGGACGCTGGTATTGCTCGCCGCGTTAAGTTGTTGTCGTACTACGACGACATGCCAAAGAAGTCGGGTATGTTATTATTTGTCTATGGGATTGCGATGCTTACTGACATCATTGTAATAGAGTATAGGAGTCTCAACGAGACTCACTTTGCGTGGGTCTTCGAGCGGCAGCGCCGCCAGAAGAAGCAGAAGAAGAACTCCTCTGCGACGACCAAGGCCAACCTCGGTAAGTAATCTCCCTCCCCCCCCCCCCCAAGCGTCTGGTATGAATGGCTTGGGTAGGATTGCTGATAGCTATATAACATGTAGAACGATTTGTGATTGACGAGGCGCCGCCGTCGGACAGGGAGGAGTAAGCGGTGGGGGGTTGTGTGGGCGTTTGGCGTGTGTTTTGCCTTTTCCTTCATTATTAGCATGATACCCATTTGCTTCAAGTTCAAATTGCTGTCAATCCCAAGCTTCAATGATCAAAATTGACAATTGTGTTGAAATGAAGTAGTCAAACGCCGTGGAAACAGTGGAAGCAGTTGCGATCGTGGTAATAGTAAGTTCAATTGAAGGTTGGTCGAAGGTTCAGGTTTTTGGTGTATATTGAAATAAGCCCCTTTTCGGCCTCACAACGTACCTTCCATGTTAATAGGCCCGGGCACAGGCACCTTCCAGTCAATAAGCCTTTACAACAACTCAAGAATTTTCAACCACTCCACCTCCCGCCTCCCATCTCCCACTTTCTCTCGCAAGTCGCGTCGTTATCCCTCTCGTTGATGCCGTTTTCTAAGCTCAAGACGCCACGCGCTTTACAGCATCGTGCGAAGAAGGCGTTGATTCGTCGTCGACTGCAGAAGCGCGAAGCTGCAAAGCGCCAGCGCCTTGACTCGACCGACCGGGAACGTGGCTCTTCGCCTCAGCGTCCTCGTCACAAAGAGCCGACCGATAGCGACGGCGATGGCGGCGATCGGGAACCGATCACATCTGCTACTGTAGGTTAGACCAACTACTCATGTACCAGATCACTAATCTGCTGCCTGTAGGATTTCGACGACTTCGAGCTTGCCCGAGCCTTGATCGATGTAGTGAACGAAGCAGACCACGTCGTCTATCCCAACCCCGAGACCGACGAGTATCAACTTGCAGACGACGGTCCGCTCCAGCAAGAGCTGCAGAAACTGGCCGAGTACCAGTATGCCGCTGATACCATCGAGAGCCACGACGATGAAGCGGAAGGCATCTCCGCCGCCGATGAACATGAAGAGGAGGTGCTAGATACCATCGCGGTTGCCGCACCCTGGGACACCACCGGTCAATACCAAACCTCCGAGCCCGAAGACCCGTTCGCAGCCTCGCAACCCAGTTGAGCAACACCGTAAAGCACACGACCTGTCGGAGTTTGCCTTGGGTTTAGGCCTATATTGCATCATTCACAGTGTATCCCGCAAGCAATACTCAACTCTCCTTCAACTTCTCAAACTGCTTGGTCATTCCGATAAGATCAGTCGGTTGCCCGATAGCCTTGACACTCTGAAGCGCCACGTCCGGGAATCGATACCGCGTATCGACATGCGTGTGGTCAAAGACCTGCCGCTGAACCCTAAGAAGTTGTCGTCGTCCCGGGATGTTGCCGGCAATCATGTCGGGTGAAAGCCCTACACAGGACCTCTTCTTCTTGAACCCTGTGGACCTCCTTCGCCGCATTCTTAGCTCCCGCATCTCCAGCACATTACACTTCGGTATGGCTCAACTTGTGGATAACCCGTCGGAGGCGTGGCATTCGATGCAATGGGCCGGCTCGGTACGCACCACCAGCGGCGAATTCGCATACTATCCGCCCTTCCCTTCCATGGAACCCATCTTCCCTGGCGACATTATCGCATACCAATGCGCGTTCCCAGCCTGTACCGGCTGCCATGAAAAGGTCGCTACAAATGTCAGGGTCGCCACGAAAGTCCATCTCGGACAGATCCAGGCAATGTTCCGCGATCATCGCGATAGTTCCCGTCATCTCGGCAACTTCATCGGCGACCCCAGCACCGGGGCTGAGAAGAACACGAAAGGCGATGTTGTCCTGGTTATCTCACGGATATGTTCTGGCAAGTTCATCAACCGACAGTTCGTCCAGAAGGGCAAGGCGATCAAGATCAACCCAGCCGAAGATACACTAGATGACGACGAGCTGGTCCTTTGCATGAGCCCAATGGAGCTTATTTCACCAGCCATGGTCACCGGCCGTCGCGACAACATCCGCTTCGACTATGCGTTTGGCAGCAAAGTGCGGTTCCCGGGTGATCCAATCGCTAGACGTGAACAACCATTGATCACCCGCATATTCGACCGGGAGCATATGGCGCTGGTGCCACCCTGCCTAGTCTCTCTGGTCCCTGGTGCCCTCGAAGTCGATGAGTTTGGCCGCGACTGGCTGGTCAAGACGTTCGCTCAAGGTGCAGAGGGTCGTGTCCGGTGTCTCCCGTGCCTGAACTTCAACGATGGCTTTGGCCTGTATCGCACTATGACCAAGTCCATCATGGGCTGCTATCTTCAGATCGCCGCTATGCCGAGAAGCGAACACACCCGCCAGATCAACGTCCTACCGGTTACACTGGGACCACATGGTGCCAATATGCACGATGTCATGAAGGCCTTGGCGCCGCTGAGAGCTCTCGACCGTGGTATTGCTGTCGATATCAATGGGGAGCGCACTATGCTGTGCGCATCCATCTTCGCCCTGACCGGCGACATGCCACAGCAACAACAGAACTCAGGGTGTCTGAGTGTCGCGGCCAATCTTAGTTGCCGATCGTGTCTCGTCACTTCCAACAACCGTGATGACCTCGACGTCGACGTGATAGGCAATGCCCGTGGCCATATGGAGATGGTTCGCCTTCGTCGTTGGATGGATGAGGAACTGCACCAAAAGTACAAGAAGGAGGCGTTTTCGACCAAGCACGGTATATCTCTTGAGGCGCCTGCAGTCATGTATGTCGCCCCAGCACTGGATCTTATCGGTGGTCGCCCCAGTGATGCCGCACATTCGGAGTTCAATGGTATCACCAAGATGATACACCAGCTTCTCCTTGACGCAGTGAGTACCCCCTTGATATAGCGACCAAAGCTGACATAGAGGTATAGGCTCTGAAGCCCGACAGCGTCGTTGCCTACACTAAAGCCTTGCGTCGAATACCGTTCCCACCCGGATGAGCTCGAATCCAATCCCCATACAATGTACTAAGGTACAGTTTTCAGGAGCATGCCCGTTGGTCTGTCTTGATGACCATAATCTCGCTATTATGGTTGAAGGAGTCTGACCTCAAGCGCCCTTTTGCCCGTGCAATGGAGGCAGTGTTTGATCAGTCCAAGCTGACAGCTAGCACTGCGTGTTCAATTGACGCAACTATAGCCACGAAGAGTGGAAGGTAAGAGCCTTATCGACATTCTAATTATCACCTTGGCTGCGATCGTCAAGACAAACTCGGCCTTGTCAACCCCTGAGATGACTATAGAAGATCGCGACGACAAGGCGATGCTTGAGAGTATTCGCCTTAGCATACGGTTATTTCAGCTAATGTGTGAAGCTGCAGCGCAGTCCACTGACCAATCGACCCGTGCTGCTCGTCGTCGTGGACGCGGTACTGCGGCAAACTCGCGCGCAGCTTCTGTGGCCCCCGCCGTGGCTGGCGGGATATCAACACCAGCAGCAGCAGCCGCCATGGCCAACACTATGGCTACGATGGAGATCGAGGAGGACGATGCTGTCGACAATGATGTCAACATCGACCAGCATACCGTCGCCCAAAAAGCCCAAGTATCGACAGTGGAGCGCTCGCCCGAATGTGCATATCGGCCTGCACTACATCGACGTGTATCGCCGGTATGGATTGGTTTCGTTGTTGATGGTCTTGCCAGGAGAGATGAAGCATAAGTAAGTGGTATTGCCCTCGAGTGTTAAGCCACGACTGATGCGCTTGGTGGACAGGCTATGGAAGAACCTTGTGGTTACGATGAACCACCGCAACCCCGAGAAGGACTGCCTGTCGTACGAGAATATGATGCAGACTGTGCGCCTTATCTTGCTGGATGGCTTCCAGGACGAGCCGGATATAACCAAGAAACTGAAGAAATCTTGCAGCATCGGTACCGACGTTGTTCTCTTCATTGCTCCCGCACGACGAGCTTGCCCGAGATGATGCAGAGGACGAAGATGACCCGTCCATCACACTCAGGATCGTTACCGACGGGTCTCATCCAGCGGCGACTGTATTGATAGCGGTCAAAGCCAGGGTATACAAGGCGATGGGTTTCCCCACTCGCGAGGCTGAATTCCAGCCGGTCTTTGCTCGGCAGGTTCGGGATGCATACCGGGCTGACTATGGTAGGAACATCATCATGAGTACCAATTTACGGGTACGCTGGTGGAAAAAGGTCTCCTTCGCAGACAGGTATGTACACGACCGCCCCCTTCCCTACTACGGCGCATTAACGGATCATTTAGCAACAACCCGACTGGGGCTCGGCGTCTCGTTTATCAGCGAGGGCAGTACGTAGCTTTCCGGATAGCTGGCGACATCGGCCGGCTGGACCACATCATGACGCATGAACCCATTGCAGGTTAGTCCACATTTTACACGGGCCACGGGAGCGCCCTCTGTGCCATCTGCAATCACTGCTTATAGGCAGCCCCCCTTGTCTGGTGGAGTTGCGTACCAGGTATGACTTGCTAACAATGCCAATGATCTGCAAACACAACTTATGTCTTCCTCATCGTTACTCCACTCCGCAAGATAGAGGCCTCGGAGCCTCTCACGGGCCTTCCCTTGATGCAGATTGCTCAGCCCGGCCAACATATCGGCATGGCACAGGAAGATGATCGCTGTTGCCAGCTGATTGTCGGTTTACCCGCTCTCCATCGCAGCCGGTTGTACATGGTGCCATTCACCACCGAGGCAGGAGAGGATGGTCGGCGCTTGGTGACCAACATCAACCATGACCTCACTGACGACACCCAGCTTCTCTGTGTCAATTGGCGAGTGCAGTTCACTTGATCACAACACAGCATATCCATAGTGCGGCACGCCGGCAATGGAGTATGGCACAAGGCAACTGGGTGGAGCCAAGGGGCGAGCATGGATGCAGGTTGCAGTGGCTGTATGTAGCGATAAGGAGATTGGGAGAATACTGATTGCGATAAGTGAGCTGAGGCCGCAATTAAATGGGTCCGTGTATGTGGTCTGTGCATCGATTTGACCGGGCCCACTTCGGGCCCCTGAGCTTGGACCCGGCTCGCGTTACTGAGCGGCTCGTGGTTTGGAACGGCTCGTGGTTTACAAGCCATATACTAACCGCTAGGCAGCGGCTTGTTGCCAATTCAACAGCTTCTATAATTGAACCGCTTCATGCATATGAGCTACTCATTTCTCTGAGCGGTTCAATGGCTATGGAGTCGCTGATCAACGAAAGCGGCTGGTCGAAACCAAGCCGGGATATATTCGCACTTACCAACAAGCGGCTCAGAACCTCGAGCTGGATTTTAATGGTAAATCAACAGCTTATTGAACCCAGCATGAGACGGCTAAGTAGCCACGCAAGAAGCGGCATGGGCTTATCAGGTTGAACTCATTGAGTTAGCAACAAACAAAAAAGGCCATAGATCAGTCCAGACAGGAAGATATTGGAGGATTCCGACGATAAGAAAAACGAAACTACATACGTAGGTGTTATGGAAAACGCTGGTCGCAACAGCCGGCAACTCCTCACATTTAGTTTCGACGGACCTATGATGCCCGGTGAATGACCTCCAGACTAACTAATCATTAAGAACGCTCTTGCACCACTAACTCCTTCATACCAGTAGCTAGATCTTTTCTGAAAACATCATCTTTGCCGAACGAATCGACTCAACGGCTGCTCCTACTCCCTGCAGCGAGCTGAAAAGCGGAATTTGAGGAAGTACCTCGCATCGTCAGTGGGCTTCCAGGCTTGCATCTCTAAAAGGCGAGGCTTTTTACTCGTAAATAGAGGTTTACTCCCCGTATGCCGTACCGTGAAGACAATGACAACTGGGCTCTGTTACTCAAGACTCCCGCACTCGATGGTTAAGGATCAGTTCATTGCTCACAGTCCCCTGAAATGGATCAGGGCCTATCGTTTTCAAGACACTGATGACTTTATACTTGGGCGCGCCGCCGTTACCGTTTTGTAGGATTGTAAGCTAGCTAGGTATGTGGGTTATAATTATTATTCATACTCCGCTATGCCCTAGGGCGTGCCGGACCCTCAGCTATTTAGTGTACAGGAAAACCGTGCCCTCCCGGGCCGGGTGAGAAACCCATACCAACAATCAAGGAGCGATGCGTTTTAGTGAGCCTACATATACAAAGAGAGGGGGCCTCCTGGCCTCCGAACGGGGGAGCTTCAGGCCGCCGCTTCCAGCTCGAGCCTCCTGGCTAAGTTGTACATCGGCAGCTTCCCCGAGTCCATCAGCCAGTCGAGAACTCTCCTCGCGAGCCGTGCAGTCGTGGGATTGATGCCGTGTAGAACAGAGTAAAAGTCCCGTCGTGTCCGAATTCCAGTTCTCTCCCATCTTCTAGTCAACGGTGGGGCCAAACACCACACTACCAGGTGTTCGGCAGTCTCTCGTCCCTCGCCACACTCGCAGGCAGGAGTCAGAACCTCCGGGACTCCCCGTGTAAACAAGAAGTCCCGTAAGCCTATTGCTCCCGTCCGGATTTGAATCAGCAGTGAGCTCTTCGCCTTGCTAAGACCGTCGTGCCTCCTTAGGGTTTCGTTCCGGAATAGCGTCTCCTGCTGATGGTCAAAGTCGTCCGCCGGCCTGGTGATTGCCCTGCCGTCCCGTTCCTTTAACCACCTCGCTTTCCAAGCCTCTTCTACTACCCTGTTCGTATCAACGGTTCCCCCCGTCCAGCGCATGACCGTGCCCTATGTGGGTTATAAGCATGGTCGATGAGAAGAAACTCTCAGCAATGAACCCCCCAAGCATGACTAGCCGACTGCTGCCTCGCAGGGCTGATAGTTTACCCAGTTTGGTAACAAAGGTTCAAGAACATAAATCTCAAGGCCCTATCTGTAACGGCCCTGACTTCCAAAATTCTTTGTTGCCAACTTGTCAGCTTCGTTCTAGATGTGCCTTCACAACAACAGCAACAACAACAACATGCATTGACAGAGCAAATGACCGCCACAACAAAACATAAGCCGCCACAGTTGCTTCTACCACAACCCACGGGTAAATTAGACTTTTGGACTTGCACTCAAAAGTATTGCCAGATCAAGCTGTAAGTTGCACTGTCCCCCAGTATCCAAGTTGTCTGGGCGGATCCGTCGGTCTCCTGAACCCCGTTTGTGAGTCATGGCAGCATCCACAAGCGGGTTTAGCTCAGTTGGGAGAGCGTCAGACTGAAGTAAAACTTCGGGAATACCAATCTGAAGGTCATGTGTTCGATCCACATAAACCGCATTGTGTTTTTTTGCTCGTTTTGCCTTAAGTGGGTTGAGGAATGTGTTAAAAGGTGGTCGCCGTTTGTCAAACCTAGCGGGGACATGAGTATTGAGATAGACAATTTGCGCAGTGGGAATAATAGCTCCGATACGGGTACGGTGATAACCATGCTGCTGGGCCTTATAGACGTCAGCCGTGTGCCTCTAACGTCGTCGGTTTCATATTTGGCGTAGCGATATCTTGACCGGAGCTGATTTTTTCCGCGGTCCCGCGCTCGAGTTCACACTTCTTGGAAGTCAAGGTATCGAGGGGCTCTTAAAGCTCCCCCGTTTTTATATCCAAGCTATAACTAGTGTTCATAAGAAAGCAATGGGGAAATAGAAGAAGGTGAGAAGAGTAAAACCTAGTAAATATGAAAGATTATCTCGTTAGGTCATCGCGGGTCAAGTATAGGATAATCGACCATGGGCCCAGACTTTGCTCTCGTGAACTCGACTATCCCATCTCCCTTAGCACATATTTCTGGGGGTAGCAAGATAAGACTGGTGTTTCCCAAATCCATACTTCAATATATACACGAACTTTTGACTTTGGGTGAGCCTTGACATGGCTGACTGAACAGTGACCATGGTCCTGTCTAGACACGTTAAGCGGATTAGTATCTCGAAAGTAACTAAGATAAAAGTTTAGTTTTTTACAACCGAGCAATTTGATAAGGTATCTTTGACGCGTAGACATATGAGATTCTTTCTTGAGATATTGTGCACTGGAAGGTTGGCAGTCGGGCAACTTATCCATGCTCTTTCTTAATGGCGCTCTTCAACTTCCTACACTCTAGCTCCAAGAACGAATAATTTATCAGAAAAGCCTTTGGTTATAGTTTATTAACCGGAAAATAGGAAGACTCGAAAACCTCACGGAATGATTTTCTTAAACTACCTTTTACACTTTCCTTCTTACTATGGCATTAGGAAACTCGAGTCGGATTGCGCAACGTCACCTTAGCCTGTTGTTGAGTCAATGTCCAAGATGTCTATCATTTGCCACTCCACCTTGGTGAGCTTTACGGTACCTCCCTTAAAGACTACGTTAAGTATTCCAACTCTAACACCCTTCAAGATAGAGCATAAACACATAGCTTCGCTCTCATGTGTCCATCTAGAGCCCATTGTTCACCGTCGGGTCAACTCCAGTTCGCCTCAAAACAACAGAGACCTCCCCCGGGCTCGCACTGCTGGTGGGTGCTTTCGGACACGGCAACAATGGAACGTTGACCGGGCCGTGTTAGTCCCGTAGGTTCACCGGCACGGCATGGAGAGGGTCAAGGCGGGCGCGGCGTGACGCTACAGAGACGGGAAGGGCATCTATCCCGTAAGGGTAAGACACCCATGATTTCCGGTTTATTTCCCTGCTGTAGAGATCTAATCATGCAAAGCCGGCGAGTGCCCGCAAGTACACGATAAGGACCTAAAAAGGCTGAGCCGCAGTTTCACCCACCACCTCGGCTAGATTCGCGACCGTAGCTCAGACTGATGAAGGCCCCACTTCCTCTCATTCCCTATCCTTAACACAGGAAACTATTATGCCGAGGTGACGTGAGTGCATCTCAGCATCTGAAGCTCCGAGCATCCGAGCATAACACGGACACATGTGCCGGCGCAAGGCGACAACAACCCCGGAAGTAAGGACGCCCTTTCGCACCCCCGGCCGGACCCCGGAATGCCGCCTCATCCCGTCCCACACTCCGAGTGCCCCCCGTCCCGTAGTAGCTCTGTGATACCCACTCTTATCACGAAAAGAAGAATGATGTACTCACACCCGGAGCACGGCCATCAAGGCATCCGCAGCAGCTCGCTCGTTTCGACACAACCACCTTTTTCTGCGCGCACATGCATATGTCCTGCCCTTCCTTGTCCAACGCCGTTCCCACTACCACCCCTCAAACCCACCACGGGTGCGTAAGTTGCGTGCGAGAGAGAGTGCTCTAGCCGACCGTAACTGCGCTGCGCCGCCCCCTCACATCGATGGCCCGATCAGATCGGCGGCAGCCGGGACCCGGGGAGGAAGGCGGGGCTCGGGGCAAAAGGAAATATGAATATGGGAATAAAATAACATAAAAACCGAACTATGAAATGCAGGAGGAGCCTCACACCACGGGCCAAGCAAACCCGCACCCCGTCTCGGGATGTGGAGATGGAGATGGAGATGGAGACGGGGACGACGCTCGAAATACGAGGACCCTCCACATCCAACACATAGCGCGCACACCTGCAAAACCCAGCATACAAACGGCCGGACCAAACGCACTGGCGGCAGAAATGCAAAGCCTTTAGTCGTGGGCGCGCACGGCGTTGTGCTTGGTCAAGATGGGCCCATCCATCATTCGATATGGGCGGCCACACGTGGGGGAAATCGTTCGACCGCCGCGCAGCCACGGTTGCAGCGAGCGCGGTTGTTGTTGTTGGGGGGGGGGGGGAAATCCAAAAAACACACTTTGTTCCCCTTTATTCCGATACACATATGAAAAAAAAGAAAATAAAATCTATAAAAATTATCAAGACATAATATAAAAGATGATAAAATAAAAAATAAAAATAAAAAAAAAATAAAATAATAAACACACCA